GACCCGGGAATTGGCTGGTCACGTCACAGCGGGTCACATACACATGACGGAGTTGGACTCCGGAATTGCGTGCAGTCAAGTTCTGAACGTTTATCACCTGCGTCAAAAGAAGCATTTCACCTGGAATGAAAGATAGGTAGGAGTTTGTAAATGCGTTTGAGTTAAGGATAGCAGTACGAGACAGGATACCCGCAGATACGACAACCGATACCAGTTATCACACAGTAGGTGCCTATCCAGTGTTCTGCAACAAACTCAAGGATACGTTGAATACCTTAGGTGCCAATGAGAATCACAGTTGGGCATCTGAGTAATATCAATTGTAATCACACTTCTCTAACATCAACTAAGGATGCCGTCGCCTTCATAAGTGTACTCCATAACGTTGTGTGTTTGCGTTGGTCTTCGACTAACCCCAGTTCTCGACAAAGTCCTGTGCATCTCTGTAAGATATTACAATAATTTTACATACTCGAGCGGGTGCTTTTAGCCCCTTATTGCAACAGAGACTAGACTAGTAGGGATGGCAATACTATGAATAATGCCGCGGGGAGCAAGAGGAATGATCGACTGACATGAGGACTGGATGCGGTTGGGGTAGGATTGCGACAACCAAGCCCGGCAGCGTTGAGCCGATGCCGACGTATGCAAGATAAACCACTTCAGTGCGAGACTGCAATGCTCGCTTTCGGAACTCACCGCTCTACCTGTACGATTGTCAGTTTTCCATGCCTCCCCCAAACTGCTTGGACAGCCTGGATCCTGCTGGTTCCACTGGCGTCTTCCACAGTTACTGAGTCAGGTTTCTGAAGTTCAACATCTCCATCAGCCACGTTCTATGTGATTCTCTCTACGTTGTCTTCCTTGCTTTTTGAAGCCAATTTTTGAGCTAAAATGAAGGAAGTGTAAATACTCCCACACAAACGTAAGGTTCTTGCGAAGCGTATTGAAAAATCAATCATGGCCGTTATCGTCGCTGTGGGTGATGGGAGTTCAGCGTTCGCTGGACTTGTTTAAACTGCACTCTTTTCGTTCTTACGAGTCATTCGTAACAAAGAGTAGACCCGGCTCGGACTTGTACTCTGAATATTGCTATCTGCCACAAATAGTATTATCGACACTTCCCAGAGAAATTGCGTGATCATGAATCCTATCATCGTTCGGATAACTCTCTTGTTATCACTAGCGATTCAGTCAGGCACCTGAAATTGAGCTGGCAAGATGCAAATCCTGAAGGATGGTGCCGAGATATAACTTTCTTTCATCAATCATAAGCAGTTTTCTAACTCAAGGCCAATAGAGGCGAGAATGGGGTCGAAGGGTTAACTCCGAGACGCCCTAACCGTCTGCATATCATCCACCTTCCCCATACGCGTAGCCCTGGCAAAAGTGGTTGCGGGTGCATTAGCGAGAGGGTCACTCACTTTTAGTGCGCCCAACCCAGATAGGGTCGCATACGGTCGCCGATGAACGGAGTTGGACTCCGTTACTTGAACCCCACCTCCCGGCTGAATCTGCCCGCATCAACTACCTTCAGAGTACACGGAGGTCATCACCGAGAGCCGCTCCTGACGACGAAACAGCCCTTTTGCCTGCGATCGCCTCAATCAAGTCAAACGTGGCGTGCTTTGGAATCGTAAAGAAGTTAATTTTCCGCAGTGTAACGGCAATAGCTACAATTTTCAGCGCCCGTCGCACGAAAAGTCTGGTCAAAATGGCCTCGACGGATGGGACGTTGGTGGTGGGAGTGGACGTCGGAGGTGAGCGACTGACAGGGCCCCCGGACCCGTGTCACTTACACCGACTCCTCTGCGTCTGGAAACTAACCGTATCTCCCAGGTACTAACACGGACAGTGTCTTGCTTAATGTCTCTAAGACCAGTGCGGACGCCGTGGTTGCGTCTCACAAAGCCCCGACCACCTCCAACGTGACGCTCTCTGTTCAGGCAACTCTGAAAGCTCTGCTGGACACCTCAACCATCAACCCTATCAGCATCACTGCTCTCGCCATCGGCACGACGCATTTCTTGAACGCAATCATTGAGAGAGACACGTCGCGTGTCGAGAAGATTGCAGTCCTTCGCTTGGCCTCTCACAACTTTTCCACGGGGACACCGCCCTTCGCAGACTGGCCAAAAGCTCTGAAGCGTATCATCAATGGACACTCTGCGATCATCCCTGGCGGATGCAATATCGACGGCACACTCATCGGACCCATCGATGAGGCAGCGATCCGCGAGCAAGCGGCCATCATCAAGTCCAAAGGGCTGAAGAACGTGGCCATTGTTGGAATCGGTTGCTCTACCGACAAAGACTACCACCAAGAAGAAGAGGTCTCTAAGGTTCTTCGCAATGAGCTTGGAGAAGATGTCAACATTGTTCTGTCTCACAATATCGCAGGTCCGGGTCTCCTTGCCCGCGAGAACGCCACGATCCTGAATGCCTCGATTCTCAACTTTGCCCAGCGAACGATCAGGGCTTTCATCGGCGCCATGCGTAGAATTGGTCTCCAGTGCCCGCTGTACTTGACTTCCAACTCTGGTCACCTTCTGCCGTTTTCCGAAGCCATGCAGGCGCCTATCAAGATCTTCTCATCGGGTGCCACCAACTCTATTAGAGGTGCTGCTTTCCTTGCATCGGACGCGATCGATCAATCTGGCAGCATCGTCGTTGATATTGGCGGCACGACTGCTGACGTGGGCTATCTTTTGAAGAATGGATACCCTCGTCTATCCAAGAGCTACACAGCCCTGGCTGGCGTCAAGGTCAATCTCGAGATGCCTTCAGTTGAGAGTATCGGCTTGGGCGGAGGTTCCATCCTACACGTTGGTGACGATGGCTCTGTTGCTGTTGGACCCGATAGCGTCGGCCATGACCTCGTTACTAAGGCGCTGTGCTTCGGAGGCGAGGTGGCCACGGCGACAGATATTGCTGTTGCATCGGGTGCAAAGATTGGCAATACCACAGTTGCCTTGCCGACCGACACTATTGAGAAGGGTAAGGCGCGAGTCAGAAAGATGCTGGAATCTGTCATCGATCGCGCCAAACTCTCTCCCGAGCCGTGCACCGTTATCTTGGTCGGAGGTGGCTCCGTTCTTTGCCCGCCAGAGCTCACCGGTGTGAGCAAAGTGGTGCTGCCTGAGCATGCTGGCGTTGCTAATGCCATCGGTGCCGCAATCGCCAAGATATACGGCTCAGCGGAGACTATTGTCTACGGCTCAGATATCCAGGGCGGCATTGCAGAGGTTAAGGCTAGAGCCATCGAGAACGCTGTAGCCAAGGGCGGTGACTCGAGCTCTGTTACGGTCCTCCACGAAGAAGTGGCTGGCGTGCCGTATGTGGAGAACCAGACCTCCATCAAGATCGAGGTTGCGCTGCCTGCGGACCATCAGCGGGTTTACTCGGAGATGACTCAGACAGCTGCCCCTGACCAACTTGTTGACGAGGAGATGTTCGAGGAGACCAAAAAGCATGAAACCACAGACGCTGGTGATGCCGACGAGGATGATACCGTCGACCTTAAGACCTACCGCCCGCAGATCGAGTCGAGCGGTCTCTGGACTCTCTCCGAGACCGACCTAAGGTTCTTGTCTATCGGCTGCTACATCCTTGGTTGCGGTGGCGGCGGGTCTCCATACGCCCCTTATCTCCAGTTGAGACAGCTTCTTACAGAAGGAGAGACAATGAAGATCATTCGCATCGAGGACTTAAAGGACGAGGAGATGATGCCGCCCGTTGCTAGTGTCGGTACACCGGCTGTTAGTATCGAGCGTCCCGGAGGACACGGCGTATGGCATGCCATGCAGGAGATGGAGAAGGAGATGAAGACCAAGTTTGAGAGACTGATTGCCACCGAGATCGGCGGAGCAAATGGCGTCGCTACCCTTATCTGGGGAAGCTCACGGTACTACGATATCCCCACGGTTGACGGAGATATGATGGGTATGTTTCTCAGACTAATGGACTCCAACACACCGTTCGTATTGCTAACACTATGTCCACAGGCCGAGCTTACCCCCAGTTCGAAATGGTCTCCCAGTACATCCACGCCAAGTCCGTCAACGAGCTTCTCCCTGTAACTCTCTGCAGTGGAACCGGTCACAACGTTGTCATCCCCGCGACACAAACCGATGAGACCTCAGCAGGCATTGCTATTCGTGATGCATGCGTGGCCATGGGCTCAGCAGCCGGCGCCGCCGGCCGTCCCATCCCCGGAAAGCTAATGCGCGAGGTCGGCATCCCCAACACTTACTCACTAGCATGGCGTTTGGGACGCGTAGTCGCTTTGGCGCAGCAAGCCGGCACAGTTTCAACGGTCACCAAGGACTTGATCGAGGCTGCTGGGGGTTCTGGTAGCGCCAAGGTGCTGTTCCAGGGCAAGATTCGTGGTGTTGAAAGCACCCTGACAACGACGGCACACAGCCTGGGCAAGGTGACCGTTGAGAGACTGAGTGAGAGCGAAATGGAAACGGATACGGACAGAGTTGGCGAGGGCTTGAAGGAAGTTGTTGTTCCGTTCATGAATGAGAACCTCGGCGTTTTGGGCAAGCTTGAGGACGGGACGGAGAAGGTAAGCCTGATTACCATTGACACCTTTCCTGGCAATGATGCTAACTGTTTTGAAAAGGTCATCGCGACTGTTCCCGACTTGATCTTCCTCCTTGACACCTCGACTGGCGAAGCCATTGGTGTCCAGGAATACAGATACGGACTAAAGGTGGCCGTCATGATCATGGCGGGCCATCCCCTTTGGGCAACCGAGCGTGCCCTCGAGATTGCTGGGCCCAAGGTTTTTGGCCTCCCCCACGATTACAAGACTGAGCTGAGCTACACCAAGCCAGTCAGTGTTATCGATGAATTCCGACCGAAGGCATAAGATGGCGACACGTAAGACCCTTTGCGAAAGAAAACGGTGGATGTGAGGAAGAATATCGAGATCCGCTATTACCCAAGTTTATTACTATCAGAAATACCCCAAAAAGTCAAATTCTCACAAATCATTATGGTATCGGTGGCTGATCTGACCAGTCAAACTCCGGCACACCGTCAAAGAAATTCAAATCTGATTCAGCCAGGAAATTGTCGCCTACTCCAACCCAATACGCCGATTCGCTGTCCAAAACGCTCATCGGCTCCCAGACATGGTGTCCAGGAGTTTCCAAGTCACCGCTTTGTGTTGCTATTCCCATGTTTCCTAGTGATTCATCCCCCGGTGTGATGAGGGTAGGATCGATGGGCACACCAGGCCCGGGCGAGGCCATATTGGGGGCTGGAGTCGTTGCGGCCGTTTTCGAAAGCTCCTCATGTAAGACCGGCACCGACGCGGGCACTTCTGAGGCGCTGCGAGATCCCGAGACATGTTTCTCTGCCTCTGTAGGTGGACCAGCACTGCGACGGGTCTTCGCATCCAGCACGCTCTTGAACTTCAGCCTGGCCTCTCCCGCAAGTGACCACGAATGAGCCATGTCTTGCAGTGCGTCGTCCAATATAGGCAGCAGGGTGTCGTTGGCTAGTGACGAGGGATTACTCATGTGCCTACAAGTAACTAATATCGCATTCATAACCAAGATGCAACCACCCACAAACAGAAGAGGCGCATTGCCGAGGGTGTGTTCGCTCTTGAAACGCTGCAACACATCCACGATACCCTCCGCCCCCGCTCTGCATACTCTGAACGACTGGGCGAGCGGGTTCTTTTCATTTTCGGGCTTGTCTTCTGACAACGATGGCATGGATCCTATCGAGGCTATGAAGGGCAGATTAAGGCTGATGCGCGTGCTGTGGTAGAGAGTGCTTCAAAAGAAGAGAGTGTGAGTACTTCCGTCTACTATTCCCATCGAAGTCAGAGAATGCAATACTTACTGTAAAATGGCCACGTTGACTTGCAGGTTATCCTTGTTGGTAAACCACTTCTTCCATCTCATATTGGTCGGGAGAGCCTCATGCCAGGCAACAAGTCTGGCGTTCAGCTTATTAAGAGACACCTCAGTCCATCTCCTGGCATGCGCATCGGTCTTTTTCCTAGGCGCAAATGTGGTAGACAGCATGTCGTGAATTATTCGGGCCAACTCTATTTGCTGGTTGAACAGCAGAGTCAATTTTGGCCCAGCCGGGCGTACCGTCTTCAGAAAGCCAAGGTCATGGGAAAAGAGCCAGTTTTCCCAAACCGGAGGGTCATGACTAAGTTCCTGTCAGCGGAAGATAGAGCAAGCTTCTAAGGACAACTAACGGCAGTGGCTCGCTCAAATTGACATCGGCGTCATTCTCGTACATGAATGTTGGGCGCCCGAGAAACAAACTGAAGATTCTGCACACGAATTAGAGCGCGTCATCGATTGAAAAATAATCTGCAAGACTAACTTGTCAGACAAGAAACAGCCCCAGTATATTCGGCGTCGAAATTCGTTATCGAAAGGAAACGGCGACTTCGAGTTCGGCCTGTCTTCTGAGCCCCAGTGGGTCGGTTCTCGTTGAAAGCCAATGTCCTGGCCCATTCTGAAAGCCATACCTGCCTTTCGCGTGAGCGATTGAATAATACGGCAATGGGGTCACCTTAGCGTACCAGCGAACATCCAGCCCCTCGAAATGTTTCCTTGTCCGACCTCGTAATATCCACAGCAAAGTAAAGCCTGCACAGAGGTTGGTCTCGGGGCGCTGAGACCCTCCGTTGTCAGGATACTTTGTGCCGTATCCGCGAAACCTTGCGCCCGGGACCTGATCTCAGGATCCTTCGACATTAGAGCTCCGATTGCAGCTGCAGCGTAAATCAGAGGAGGAGAACAAAAGTCGCCGTCGATGGGGTTGTCCTCGAATTCGGCTACAAAAGCCTCCCTGTCGATGAACATGAACAAGGGGTACTGCCAGTAGAAGAACAGACCCAAGCACAAACGCATTGTCTGGTTGATCAGGTTGCTTCTGTCATCCTGGAAGGGTGACTTCTTTGAGTTGCCGGATGAGCTGCCACAAGTATCTCCGTAGTCATTTTGAAAGATGCTGGTTGGGCCGTGGTAAATCATAGAGCCTGGACTGTCAGTCACCAGAACATATTGCATCCACTTTCTTAAGAACCTCACCATCCAAAGTCTCTTGCAAGGTCGCCTTGGTCAAAGCCTCACTCAACGCTGCTTCGTCCTCCAAGGGCAAGCTAGAGAAAGACGGCACGTAGTCTTTGATCTCAACTTCGTCCAAAATCTGGTTTCGCTCATCGTTGCTAGCCTCCTTGAGCCGAGCCAAGAAGCCCTCAAGCGAGGCGATGCGAGACTCCAGTGCCGCAACATACTCACGTGACACCGGCGGCCGTTTGAAGTCGCTCTCCCGAAACTCGCACTTAGCCGAAGCTGCGGAGCAATTGGCGCACGGGAATGTGCGGGAACATCGGATCTGAGAGCGGCGCCGTTGTCAGCCGGATGAGACTTCCACAATGCGGCGGTGGCCGACGGCCATCGGCGAAGACGGGGCGGGCGATATCGGAGGGACTCCGGGGATTACAAATACCGCGGTACCTTTCTCTGTTGACACCGTTTACACCTTTTTTTTTCATTACATGTTTAGCATCTTTCTGATTCAAATTGTGATGCTGAGATCAACTTACGATATCCGCTTCACGTTGTTCTTCTCCATCTTCAAGTGGGCATGCAGGCAGGCAACCACCACCAAAGAGACGGTCAGTTGCGCGCGTAAGGGGCTGGCAGAGATGCGGGACAAAAACCACCGCGGTCACATGACAATCAAATTGTTTTGGACCCTTTTTCACAACTTGGCCGGTGCGCTGAAGATTGCGGGGTTGATTGAAGTGGGATGGGTGCCTGTTGACAGTTGACAGCGCGATGGCTCAGAAACCCTGCTCTGAATCCCTCTGTGCAACGTGACCAACCACGTTCGTCATAGACTTGCCATTTGGGGGTTCGGTTCACTAATTTTAGGTGGCAAATGGATTCGTATTTCATCAGCGTCCTTTCTGGCATAGGTTCAACCCTGCGGGTTTCGTCAATTGTAATTCTGCGCTGAGAGGCCGTTATCAGCATGGCCAGGGTGAAAGGATCCACAACCTAAGCAATACGATATTGCCGGAGCTTAAGCTCTAAAAAGCCGAGCGTTCAGCTGAAGCTAGGCAACGATGAAGGGAATCAACACAATGAGAGAAAACAGCGTAAATCTTCCTATGTGAGTCTTTGTACAAAAGCCACCAAAGAATCAGCGAAGATTTTACTGCTCGGATTAGCCTGTACCAATGGACGATGAGATATCTTTATCAACGAGATAGTAGGAACAATTTGATATGTAGGTTCTCAGCCGTCTGTGACAGCAATTGAAGAAGTTCGTATATGACTCTTGCTATTGGATGACTTGGTCACACAAGCTGTAGTCGAGTTAAGCACATGTCAACGACTAGTCTTCAAGTCAGCCTTGATTACAGACTGAATCTGCCAGCCTTCTGATGCGCTCAGATGTATCCTTAAACTGATATTGGTGTAAAATAAATTTGAGATCAGTTCAGTCTCATTTACATCCCTTTCTGGACCTTTCCCGAAGAGTCTGGTACAACTCGGCAATAGAATTTCGACATCCGCGCGGACAGCTGTATCTATGGGGGAGAGGCTAGTTCTCCCGTCGCTCTGTAATGTTGTTCTCAACATGCCTAATATCCCTGCTGTTATGCAATCTCTTAGCTCTATGTCTCTGAGTTTTGCTAAAGACTTGACTATTTTAGTCCCGGTTGAATTGCTTCGACACTTCCAACCTTCAACCCGAACCCAAACTAGAAATCGCGTTGCAACGCCACCCACAGGGACCCCACCATCTTACGTGATGGGCTCGGGTTCCAAGCTTCCCTCACTCGCCAAAACAAAATTCCAAATTGCCAAGCCCTCCTCAATATCGTTTTCACCGATCACGGAGGTATTGCGCTGTTTCTTTTGCCGCCGAAAGCCCACCCCGCGTGCCATTATGCAACGCCGAGCGGCCGGCCGAGATGTCGGATATGATACCCCGCATGCCCCTCCTACCTATCTTTGCTATCTAGGCTATCACACCATCATGCAACCTCACCCCTCCTTCTGATCTTGCCACATTTTCACAATCATTGCAGCATGCGCTAAACTTACTAAGCTTTCGTTCACCAAGGTACAAGGTTGACAGGACCTCCAGTTGCGGCTGAGTTGTCAGACACACTATTCAGACGTCCCAGCAACCCAGCATGACGACTTCAAAGCACGTCGTCTTCCAGAACGGAAGGTTCTTCCGGTCAAACAAGGCTCCGCCTGGACAGCGATCGGAGGCCAACTTCGCCGAGGCTCTCGTGATCAAGGACGGCCTTATCACATTCGTCGGCGAAGCTTCAGCAAACGAAGTCAAGAGCGCTATCGATGCAGGAGCTGAGGTTCGCGATGTTGGCGGCCGCCACGTCCTGCCTGGTCTCCTCGACGGACACATTCACTTGACTCAGCTGGGACAGACCTTGCAGAAATTGCCTCTGGACAAGTGCAAGAGCCTAGCGGATATCAGGAAGACTATCAAAGACCATGCCGCCGCCAACCCGGACCAGGCGCGTATCTTTTGCAGTGGCTGGATGCATTTCATGACACCAGAGGGTCCCTTAGCCTCGCTCATTGACGACTTGGATCCTCGTCCAATCTTGATCACAGCAAAGGACCTGCACTCTACGTGGTGCAACAGCGCCGCTCTGAGAGAACTGGACCTGGACAATGAGCCGGACCCTCCTGGTGGTGAGATCATGCGCGACCCCAAGACTGGCAAGCCGAGTGGTCTGCTCTCGGAGGCAGCGAGCATGAAGTGGATTCCATTGTACATGGCCAGGACTTCCACGATGGAAGATCGTATATCGGCAATCAAAACCGCTGTCAACGACTACACGAGTGCTGGATTCACTGGTCTCATCGACATGGCAATGGAAGAGGAGGGATGGGAAGCGCTGCAGAACTATCGCAAGAGGGAGAAGGAAGCCGGTCGACCGTTCCCTATTCGCTTCGCTGCTTACTGGATGATCCTGCCGAGGGACAATGATGCGGAGAACATCAGACAGGTTGAGAGGGCTGCAGAACTCGCCAAAGAGTTCAACTTGGAGACGGACCCCGACTGCAGACTCGTGGGTATCAAGCTGGTATGCGATGGCATCATCGACGCCTGCACAGCCTCCTTGAAGGAGCCATACAGCCACAACAACGAGAACTGCGACCCCGTATGGTCACCGGAACACATGGGTCCCGTTGTGGAAGCAGCGACAAAACACGGCTTGCAAGTGGCGCTCCACGCCATCGGTGACCGAACAGTCGCCAACGCCATCGATGTGCTCGAGAAATATGTCGGCCCGGAGCATCGCCCTCGTATCGAGCACCTCGAAGTCACAACCGCGGAGGACGCCAAGCGGTTGGGTAAGCTGGGCATCACAGCCTCCGTTCAGCCTGTTCACTCCGACCCTGCCATCCTACGCGCATGGCCGAAGCTCATTGGCGAACACCGCTGTGGACGCGCTTTCGCGTACAGCGACTTCGCCGACGGGGGAGCCCCCGTGGCTATTGGTTCTGATGCGCCGACTGCGCCGCATCACATTGTCAACAACCTTTACATTGCAACCACGCGGAGGTCGGCCCGCGAGCCGGAGTTGGAGACAGTTGTCAATCCCCAGTTCGCGCTGTCCATGTGTGATGTTGTGGCCGGGGCCACGGAGGGTGCGGCAAGGAGTTGTTTCTTGGACGATCGTGTAGGATCATTTGAAGTTGGTAAGAGGGCTGATTTGGCTGTATTTGATCTTGAATGGAAGCCCGAGAAGGCTCTGCAGGCAAAGGCTGTGGAGACTTGGTTTGAGGGACAGCAAGTGTTTCCTGGGCAGGTTTGAGGCCTAGAGGATGGAGTTTGGTGTCGCGATAGATTAGATCAGCATTAGGCAAGGATATTAAATATACGAATGAGTCAGAGAGTAACAGAAGCCGCAATGGTAGAGCTTGGCATTCACTATTAAGATCGCCATTCTCTTCTCACCAGATCCATCCAAGTACAAACTGAGCTATTGTGCGAGCAATCCAAGCACGGCCCAGGACAATATAAGTACATCATCATCGAGCGTCTGGCTAACCTTCGGCAAATCCTTCTCCACGATACACAAAGGAAGCTACATGACGAAATGAGCCCCGACTACAGACGTCAAAGTCAAAGCAAGTATGACGAATTTGCTCACAGCCAACTGTCTAGACTCGCTCTTGTTGTACTGAAGCTCCTTCTTGAGAGAAGCGTAGTCGATCCACTCGCATTTTCCCTGAAATACTTCCTTGGTGTAGTTGAACTTCCTACCCTCAGCTTTAAGCTCGTCTATCTTCTTTCCTGCTGCCTCTCTGACACAGTTTGGCCAATTGATGGCTACCTCTGGTTGATGGGTGAAGCATGCCATGGATTGGCAAAAACGCTGTGTCGTGTACACATTCGTGCCATTCCGGATGCTCGGACAGCAATGTTCGAAGAGGTCAAAGTCTCCTCCAGGGCTCACGAGATATCCGCGAGTAAAGATAACGTCATTTATCGTGCGGCAGACAATGGGCACCCCAAGGTCAGGGGCAGGTCGCGCGCACGCGTGTGGATTTTGGTGCCATCGCTCTTGGAGCTAGAGAGATACGTCAGACACATATCTTAGATCGTAGATAGTATTCAGACTTCATAGAGCACGAAGGGAGCCCATTACTTACATGTGTTCGATGCGTTTCGTTGACCACGGGGATTTGGTCCATGGCGGGCGAAAGTGTAGAATGACTTGAATGACGGATCCCCCTTCAAAGAAAGCTGACGATGTGAACAAGACTTTGACTCCGCACTACTATCAGGTGGGCAATTTGGCCTAAGTCTCTCTTATAGGTGGGTACGGGCAATGCTGTCACAAAAGATTGAACTCTCAGCTGTCTCTTTAATGGCCAACTCAAGATGACGTATGTTGTGCTCCGAACCTTGGATTCAAAATTACACAGCTGCTGTGCCGCAGCCCTTTCAAACTTGACTGGCTGTGGTAATCAGGCTCAGTTCGACAGTTATGGTCACATTCATGTAGCTGCTTTGACATTGCCTGATTGGTGGTGCCAATCAACCCCGAGTCCGCCAAGCCTGGCTTGGCGGGTGAATCGCTCAATCCAGACGGTCCAGACTCTACAGTATTTATCCGGCTGTCTTGGAATACGAGATTCCTAACCAACCGGTTGTCTCTTAATCTTGTTGGACCAATAAAGCTCTTCCCATCTTCTGTCAACATGTTCCAACAGCATACGAAGCTCGCGTATTTCTTTCAAATCACCTTTGCGGCCCGTCACAAGGACGGTTGATAACCCTGGACACAACACAACTTCAAATAAGACTTCATGCGGTTGGAATATCGAATTCCTTGGCTTGCCTGTGTTGGGAGCTTGCAGACTTGGCGAACAGAGTATTGCCCTCAATGCCCATCTTGGCTCGCGCTATAGATCGGCGGAACACCTAGTCGCGGAACTACATCTTCGAAACGCGAAATGTAGAAAAGGAAGGTATTGCGCTGCTGCGCCTCTCACGAGCAGTTATAGGACCGAGAAATTCGAAAGACATCTTCGGAAGAAGTCCAAACGAACTCCTTTCAGAACCATCAGCTGATCATTGCAAGCCTCGTCACCATGAGAAGTGCCTCAACCAAACCTCGAGGCAAAGATCAAGTCAGTTTGGAGCTTAAACATTCAAGAAATGATCTAGACCGCCCTCGCCTGGAAGGTGTGGAGGATGAATGGCAGGTGGGGGCTGTTGGTGCTCGAGACTTCGGGCTCGGTCGAGATGAGCACCGTGACTTCACTGAGCTGCTTGGAACAGCTGTACGGCGAGTGAGTTTTTTGGGCTATCTTCAGATGTGTCTAGTATACTAGCATTTACTTCATGACTTGTAGAGGCGCAGGTTAATCCTGAAGAGCGCGGATGAGGAGTGAGGGTGAAAATTATTTAAAGCTGGCTTGATTGCTCGCCGAAAGCTTTCAATTCTGTTCTTCACCATCGCCACGCTCAGGTTTTGCTACTGACAAGACCCTTTCTTCTCTTCTATATACAAATCCCAACTCTTTCTCACACTCTAGCTGGTCATTGGCAACCATGTTGAACCGCCTCCTTCTACTCTTGCGCGCGGCTGGACACGTCTTACCGAGAGATGGCGACAGCGCTGACCGGTACACTGTTTGTGGTCAAGATCGTGGGTATGTTTTCGAATCAACAGTCACATACAATTGGTTTGTCCTTGTTCCAGATGAGTATATATGCTGAGACGATGAATAGATACACTGAGCAAGACTCGTTGGAGGCTGCGCAGTACTTGACGAACACTGTTGTGACATCTGATGCCTTTTCAATGGCCAAACATGATTGCATTTTTGCGCACGTCAACGCGACTGTTGTCAGTCTCTGCAACGGCAGTCAGCGCAACCGCACCATCAACCGCGACGAAGCTAGACGTGGTGTCGACCAACTCATCAAAGACTGCGGTCTCAATGGCGGCTTCACTGGTATCCACGTCGTCAATAACTTGACCTTCGCCGCCTATGGTGTCGGAGGGATCAGTCTAGCTCCTCCTCCCGGTTCCAATCCTCCTGATGTTCCTGGATCGAGGAAACGCTCGCTAGGGCGATCCCTTTCCAGGCGCGACTGCGCGTGGGCTTACGACGGTGTTCCACACTTTGACTGTGACGCCAAAAACAGGCTGAATGAAGATGGATCTTGTGGTGGCCAGATTGTGCCTGAGAGCAACTGTCAGGCTTTCTGCGAGCTCCGCAGGACTGGTTTCCTTGGCCACGAGGAACGAGCACCTGGCGAGGGAGGGAATCAGATGCTCCCAGGCGAGGCCAAAGAACTTGGTGGAGGTTTCGAGACCTCTATTTCCAACGGCTTCTCCATCGGCGTCGAGGGAATTTTCAAAGAAGTCATTGGTGCTGGTGTCAGCTATGAATGTGCGTAGCGTCCAAAATGGTGTTCGTAGTAGAAGCTTACTGGAATTAGGGTCAATTTCGAAGACGACACTTACAACTACAACAAGATCGATGAAGGACGTCAGCTCGGAACAGTACTCTCGTTGGGTCTTTTTTCCTAAGCTTATCGAGAGTTGTGGTACCGTCTCGCGCAAAACATATTCTGCCCCGACCCCGTGTACTGGGTTGCCCTGCACTGGTCTCCCAGCAGACGATCCTGACTGCGTTGGAGATTTGGAGAATGTTGCTAACGTATGCTCGCTGGTACCGAAGCTGAACCCAGACGGCGAACCTGAGGTTTTCTGGGCCGTCCGTAAGTTTGGTTTCTTCGTTTTGACAAAGAAAGGGACCACGGGACGTTCTTGTCAGCTGACTTTACACTTCCCTGTTACAGGCTACGAATATGAGGATGGGACTCCTTTGCCCTTCGATCAGCAGCATTTTTCATACAAGACTCCTTGCGTCAGTGACGACCCAGACGGCGATGGAGAAAAGGAGTGTTACAACCATATTCCTGCTCTCATGCTGGCACCGAACTACAAAAAGCTCGAGCATGCCATTGGAGCAACCAGTGCTTAGGTTGGCGGGCTCAGCACTTGCCGATGATATACGCTGATAGGAGACAAGGAATATACAGAGGCATGGATTCTGGAGTACACGCGACATTTGGGAGATGTCTCATTGCTAATTTACGTTCTGATCTTCCTCGTAGTTTCTGCGAGATTCTAAATCATGTGCACGAACACGGGGTTCTTGCGGATCGATGTTCTTCTTTATGTCTTTGTCTGAGGTGCTCTAGTAGTCTTATCTAGTTTAGCTTGTGTCAGAGCATTTCTCTAGCAGTACGAAGAATCCTATCACAATTTCAGTCCAACTGTCTTTTCAACTTTACTGTCCGGTGATGATTTAGCATAAAGCTTGAGAACCAGCAAGCTCCAGATGTAGGAAGATATCAATCAATTCATCGTACTACCAAATATTTGGTATCTTCTGCTGACTGATGAATACATCTATGGATCTGTTTGATCGTGGTGTTGTGGAGAGGGAGCTGCCCCGGCCGACTCGCGCCTAATTCAGATACCCAATAGGCTACCTTTGGAGGGGTTTCCTGTGGTCTATCCAGACCCTCGTAAATATCCCTGTCAAAGTCATACGGCAGCTTATAAAGTGTGCTGTGCAAAGACATAATTGAAACCTTAGAACAAGGGGGGAGAGGAGAAATCATTGTATCAAGACATCTGTTGGCCCACTTCTTAAGGCGTCTTCATTATCCGGGGATATAATTGCGATTCGCCTCAGCATAAAGACGTGAACTCCCGGACGTACTTGAAGTCTCAACGTGGTCATACAAATATAGCAAAGATACCGACTAAGGCTGTGGCAAGGGCCATCAACAAGTTGCTAGACTGAACAGCAGGGGCGACGCTGAAGAATACACCTCTGTTCCTCCTAACTTCGCCCGAGCTACCTACCTCCAACTTCCTTCGCAGCGGCTGGCATAGACTTGTTGAAAGACTTGTATGTGGCCTTCATGCCGACCTGAAGCTTCTTGATCGAATCGCGACCTCGGTAATCACTCCATGTGCGATCCAAAAGCCCTGAAAAATGGTTAGCGGCAGGTACATCCCCTATCAAAGGCAGACAGCAAAACCGAAACACGCAACTTACCCCAGAAATCCTCGACATCAGCTTTGCCTTCACGGATGTAGTAGCTGCCGCCCATACTCCAAACCATCCACCCAACGCTCCTCTGAACCATCAAGTCCATCAGACACTTGTGGAACTTCTTCTCATAATCTCGCGATGTATCCGACTGATCATGGCCCCACTCGCTCATGATCAGCGGCGCCACATTGGCTTGCCCCTTGGTCATAACGTCCGCGCCCCAGCCATCGAGCATCCCGTAGTACCCTTCACAGTCATCGCTCAGACCGTGGTCGTACGCATGCAGCTCGAAGACGAACTTGTTTTTGAACGGCAGCGCCGCGATGGAGAAGTTCCATTTCGGCTCGTCGGCGTACCACCCGTTAGCGGGCGCCTCGATGTCGATGCCACCCAGCCGTCCGCCGAAGAAGATGAGCACGTCCGGGTTGGCGGCGTGGATGGTGCTGGCACCTTGGACCATGCGCTTCCCCCACGTCTCCCACGTTCCGGGCTCGATGGCGGGAGCGGCGGGGGGTTTGTCGTAGCTGAACCGCTCGCGTATCTCGTTGCGAAGACCGATGCTCGAAAAGGACTTCCAGTTGGCTTTGCCCTGTATCCATGCGTTAGAACAGTGAGCAGCGTGACTAGAGAGAGGCGGGACTCACATGCTCTGCCATGTAAGACAAGCTCCTAATCCAGTTGGTAGTGTTGAAGTAAGCATCGCCAAACCACCCGTTCCCGTCGGCTACGTTGCAGCACCATCCAGCCTTGGACATATGGTTATCAAGATGCAGGTAGATGTTCTGACGCGCCAGCTCATCAGCAACAGCGTCCCACACTTCAAGACGCTTAGTGTTCTCGTCGAAGCGGGGGTTGTTGCTGACGATCTGCTTCATGATCTTGGTGCCGTTCTCCGCGCCGAGCGCCTTCTCCAGGGTCGCTTTGAGAGTCACGTCGCCTCCCTTGTCGACTATGTCGTCCACCATCTCGGTCGCGAACGTGAGACGCACCGAGTTGAAGCCGGTCTGGGCGATCTTGGTGACGATGTTGGAGATGTTCTGAAACTGCAGGCCTTCGGGCAACATGGTCTGCTCATGGCCGGGCCAGTTGGCGCCAACGAGGGCGACGGTGTCATTCTTTGCGTCAAGGATGTCTCGGCCGACGACGGAGAGCGGGAGAGATTGGTCACCACGCGGCGCGGGAGGCTCATGTGCCGATATGAGCGGCAGCGTGAGCGCGCTTAGTAGCGCCGTTGTGGTGGTGTGAAGCCGGCGCATGATGGATCGCTAGAGTTTCGCGGGCAAGACGAGAACGCCTACTTTCAGCCTTAGGAGGTACGGACCTATGGCTAGGGGTCTCTGCAGAGGTAAAAGAACACGGGTGAGAACAGGGTAGGAATTGAGCGGATCGAGGAGGAGGCCTCGTTAATGGACATCCTGTTAATTGAGGGTAGTCGTCCTCACATCTGTCAAGGTCCTCGCATCTCCCTCCCGGGCCTCAATAAACAAAAGCAATATTGCACCAACTCCAAGCCTTCCATCCTTGGAGTCTCAAAGAAGCATTTCTCAAACTTTTCCCCTGTGTCAAGAACCAGTCCTACGATCTTCTTTAGCTGATATTCTTCCAGAATCAGCACCCTCTAGCCGGGGAGGAGAAGCCTAATATTGAAAAAAGTATTCCCTCATCCATCAAGGTTAAGGATGACGGCTGGGAAAGATCCGCTCGGATGTTTACCGTGATAGGGCACTGGAGGCACCAATACATCCATGTGCTGCCGAAGCTTCGTCTGATGTGTGAACCGGCTGTCACCGAGGACGTATCAGCATGCAGTGAGCTCGGCGTTGAACCCCGCGCATGACGGCATGAAAAACAGGGTAGACATTGAAGATCAATAAAAGGCCTCTGAAGATATGGGGAGGCTAGCAGCGCTAGGCGAAGGAAAATCGTGGTTCAATCGAAGCAATAAGAGATCACAATGGATTGCGGCCGTTTGGAATCAACGGTGAAGGTTAAAGTTAGAGACGAACCCACATATAGCAGAGTATCATGCAGTTAAGCAGCTTGTTTTCAATGGTGGCTGCATTGTATTGATAAATACACAAGAGTGCATAAAGTAAATACATGAAGAAAGTTTAGGTTTGGGTTATCTGAGTATTCACTGCGGTCCACTCTACTTCATGTTCTGAAGAAGGTAGCGGACGCCGGCGTAGGTCTCCTCACCGGTGGGGACGATCTGGCTGGCGGGCAAGACGAAGCCGTAGTTACCGGTGTCGCGCAGCTCCTGGGTGAAGGTGTAGTCGGCCTTGACGACGTCGTTGACGTAGTCGACACTGCTGCCGGTCGCCTTGTAGATGGTCGTGCAGATGGGGCCGTACTGGTACGAGGTGCCGTGGACGGCCTTGATGGCGGCGACGGCGCCCTTGGCGAGAGACTGCAGCTCGGTGTTCTTGGAGGAGACGGCGGTGCACGAGTAGCCGTAGGGGGTCATGAAGAGCTGCGAGTAGGAGTGGAAGTCGATGAAGAGCTTCAGGCCCTGCGCGGCCTTGGTCTTGGACAGCCAGGCGGAGAGGGCAGCGGTCTCGGGGGCGTCGCCGGCGGAGGCGCCCTTGAAGTCCTCGGCGCAGGGGTCGGTGGATGCGCCGCCGGTGACGGACCACTGGTAGGGCCAGTTGCGGTTGATGTCGTGGCCGAGGCAGCTGCTGCCGGAGGTGGTCTGGCGGTTCTTGCGCCACAGACGGTTGGTGGTCTGGGTGTAGATGAAGCCGTCGGGGTTGACGACGGGGAAGACGTAGAAGTCGTACTTGTCGACGAAGCCCTTGACCTCGGTGTCGGTGGAGTACTTGGTCAGCAGGTTGTAGGCGATGTACTCGTTGGTCATTGTGCCGATCCACTCGCGGGCGTGGACGGTGCCGTGGAAGACAACGGCGGGCTTTGTGCCCTTGGAGCTGCCGTAGATGTGGATGCCCGTGATGGTGTTGCCTTGGAGCGAGCTGCCAGAGGTAACGATCTCGGCGTTGTTGGGGTAAGATGCCACCAAGTCCTTGAGGAACTGCAGATGGTCGGCATACGCGTGGTACGAGTTGAACCAAGTGGTGTTGGCGGATCCAACTGGAATTTGTCAGTGGCAGTCCAGATGCGTGATTGGGTCTTACTAACCGGCGTAGACTGAGAAGCTGGACTCATCAGCAATGCTGAGGCCGAGATCCTCGTGCATGGTCGTAACGTTCAATCCCGAGATCTCGGCGTTGAACTCGTCGACCTGCTCAGGCGGGACGACAATATCGGCCAGAGCGCCGGCTCTCGGAACACCCTTCCAGGTGTTCAATTGAAGCTTGTTGATGACGCCGTTCACGCGGTCGACCTCGTCGCCGACGGACACACGGAAAACCTTGGTGCCGTCGTAGCTCACCCGTTGGGAGCTAGCCCCCGCCACGGCGGCGGCAGAGGCGGCGGCGATGGTGGTGGAAAGGACAGCGAGCGACTTCATCTTGACAACGCGTGATATCGTCGAGAGTGCAGAGACAAGAACTTCACCAGCGCAACCGGTGCGCGGCGTCGTCTGGTTATATGGTCGTTCGCAAGACCGATGAGGGGAAGGCGACAGAATCAACAGGGACAGCAGGATCGGACCGTCGGGGATCGCCTGGGCAGTTTTTACAACCTTCCTTTTCAGGTCATGGCGACCCGCGTCGAATGCACGCCCAGCTCGTCAGATATCTTGGCTTGAGGGACAGGAGACCTGCCCGATCAAAACAAGGCGCGAAGAGACAACTCACAAAAGTCCCCGCCTGGGCAAGCATGCAGGGTAGCTTCTGATGCCGTGTCTAGAAGCTGGACAATCTTAGCTGCCTGGCCAGCTTTGGGAGCCAGATCTGAGGGGGAAGGTCCATGACTCTACGTAGGTTCTGGCTGGGAGATTTTCCGTCTTCTCGAGAGGGGGGAACGACCGGGGTTCAGGGAAGAAGGAATTAAGGTGCCAGCCAGCAGCCATCAGACGAGGGGCATGCAGGCGCGAGCTAATAGGCTTGTCGTTTGACCGCTGACGGGACGATTGGGGCCGCATTGAGCTTGTTGTGCAATACATCCGTCCGGTTGGCCATGGTTCTTTTGTTTCTCGTTCGACCGGCGTCACGGCTTGATTAAGCAGTTCGGGAGGGAGGCGATAGTTGACTGGTAGAAACGGGGGTGGACTGGTGCAACCCAACCCAGCCCCCCCGCGGTCGTTAAGCAGATCCAGGCAGGTCAAGTGCCGGATTGCACGCAGCCGACCTGCCGGAACTGGGGTAGCGCGGCGGTAAGGATTCAGGAGTTTGGGGGGATCGCGCTGTTGACTTGGGGAAGAGAAGCTTCGCGGAGGCTAAGGCAGGCCCTGCTGCATGAGCCGCTTCTCTGCAAAGGATGCTTAATCTAGAATGTGGTATATTCGAACTGCGGCTAACAAGATGGAGTGCGAGAGGATTTGAGGCGTTTTCATACGGTAATGGCGAGCTTGGAGCTGAAGATGGCGATGCATGGCTCTACGCGAACCTTCAACGTCGGGTCATTTTTAGGTTTAGAACAGTGAGTTTAGCGAATGGGGCCCCAATTAAGGCTTATCTGCCATCACAAAGTCCGATACGAACTCATGCGGAGCAGCCCGACATTCTCTCACTCAGGTTGGCAACACTGTTCTCTGCGAGTCTGCGGTTGAGACAAGAAGGACAAACGGACGACATGAGATTATGACATCTCATGTTAAGGTATGATGTCAGTTCGCGCACAACAGAAAAGTGAGAGCCGGGGATGAGATGGGCTCCGAGCACCTCGCAGTCCGGTGTTCTTGTGCCACAAGGAATACGACACGCAGGCGGAGATCTGTATTTGCCGTCTGTTTTGGAGAAACACCGCTCGATCAGTGAACAACAGAAGCATGCGCGAGAACTAATTCAACCTACTGTTATTCAGAAACGAGACTTTAATACGTAAAAAGGTCACAGCTGAATAGTTGACTCAAAAGGACATGTCGCAATCCACACTTCAATTCTTCACGAATTTCGGCCTCCTCGGGCGTTGTGCACGGACCTTCTCACCATGAGATGAGGCAAGTCCCCATTCGCAAATCTCCAGCAATCGCAAGAAACCCGTAGAAAACGAGGACATGGTTGGTACGCTTAAAATAATGGCAAATAATTCTTGATCTCTAGAAGATCGTCTATAAGCAGTGCAAAAGCTCAAAATGGCAAAAACAATGGACGAACAGGGAATCGAACCCTGGACCACTCACATGCTAAGCGAGTATTATACCACTAAACCATTCGCCCGTTGTTGAGGAAAAAGGGCTAGAAACCTAACCATGATGCCTTCGTCGCTCCGGTGCTGCTTCCACCCCGGCCCCGGCATTCTCTGTCTCCCGCCGAGGCCGATTGATCATTTCTTCTCTCCCTCGAGCTGAGTTCTCGATCCTTGTAGCCCCCAAATGAAATTATTACATCGAATCTCATCCCTCCTCGTTTGCCGCGCATGTCGTCTGGCTATCGACATAGCACCGAATCTGCCGAAAAGCCATCCACGTCGATGACTTCATGACTGTCTCAACTGTGCGATAGTCACATCAAACGCTTCAGGTTCCCGCCCGATAATGTCCTTCATATGACTCGTCACCACGGCTGTCTCTCCCGCCCGAATAGCATCCCAAGCGGTCGCCCACGTCCTTGCCTTCTCCTGCGATCCGAAGCGCGCGACGACCTGCGGCAGCTTGACGTACTCATCAACATCAACCTGGCGAATGCGAACGTCCTTGCCGGCGACTTGGCCCAGAACCTGCACCGTCTCCTCCAGCGACCACTCCCTCGAGCCGGTGAGCAGGATCTTCTTGTTGACGTAGGCAAACTGGTCCGGGTCCCACGAGTAGTTCGCGATGAGCCGCGCCGTCGCCTCCCCGAGCTCGTTGCGCTTGACCCACGCGACGCCGGGCCCGGAGCCGTCGTGGGGTATGAGGATCTCGTCCGCCGGCGCGTTGATGTCGAAGAAGGCCGTGTAGATCGGGTACGATTCTGAGTAGAGCCCCTCGCGTATGGAGGTGAAGGTGAAGCTGGGGTCGGAGGCGGCTGCTTCTGTCAGGTGGCGCTCGGAGTCGAGGTGGGCTTGCATCACCTCCGCTATTGAGGTGTCCTGGTAGTCGCCGCCGAAGGCCAGGGAGCTGTAGAAGATGTGCTTGATACCGGCGCGGCGCGCTGCGTCTATGGCGGGTAGTTGCACCTGACGGAATTCCTGTGAGATGGTCTTGTCCCTGCACAGCGAGGGGCGTCCTTACCTTTCTTCGGTAATCGTGCACATGGCTTGGATAGGAGATGAGGAAGAGGACCTCGATGCCTGCAAACGCGGCTTCTAGATCGGAGGGGCTTGACTCGTACGAGGCCTTGCGCACTCTGACTCCGTGTTCGAGATGCTCTTGCGGGATCTTTTCTGGGTATCGGTTGATGAGGATGATTTGATCATTAGGGAGGAGCTTGCGCAGGTACTCGTAGGTACTGCCGCCCAAACCACCCGAGCCCGGAAAGATGCCGATAGACTTCATCGTGCTGCTCAAGATGCTCACTAGCGCTGATCGGATGATAAGATTATGAGTTGAACTGTGAGTCCGCTTTTGTGTCTAGCCGTTCACGCTATAATCTGGCCTCATGCGATGAGTTAGCTAGGCGGGTGGTGAAGATAAGATGAGATGATAAGCCGCAACATGATTGACGCGCATGATCACATCACGACCTGGAACTCGCTTGGCAAGGGACCTGCACCCACATTGACACCCGCATTACGTCACCGCGTCACTATTTACAGATTTTTAACCAGGCATGTTCCCTTGCACGGCAGCATTAGTAAGGCGGGATCGCACGATACGGAGCCTTCTTTTCTCCAGCACGTGTGTCCGTTTCCCCTCCGACTCGTCAATCTAGGGCCGATTCCGGGGCCGTGGGTTCGAGGCCGCCGATCACCGGCTTCCCTGCTTTTGCGGCCCCGCACCGCGGTCTTGATCGGCGCTTAGGGCGGCTTTGACAGTGTGCAGAGATCTTCAGGATGCAAGTTTATGTGAGTTCTAGAATGGTCCATGACAACATCTAGTGTCTCATTGGAGAGCTATTCTTTTTGGGGGAAAAATATGTACATGAAGAATGAAAATGCCAGCACCCGAATCAGGGCGGGGTCTACTTCCAGGAGGTGGTGGCACCCCGCTTCGCTCCATCAACAGGCAACAAGAAGTCGCTGGCCGCGATCTTGCCGTTCTTGTTACGCGCGCCCGTGACCAGGCCGACGTCAATGCTCTTGAAGCTTGCGTTGCTGAGCAGAGGGGCCGAGTTGTCCCACGAGTTGTCCCTGGAGATCTGCGCGCCGCGCAGGGTGACCTGGCCGCCGTAGGTGACGTTGGTTGGGGAGCCCGGGCGGTTGACGGCGGCGATGTTGCGCTCGAGGACGCCCGTCGCGTTGACGCTGCGGAAGCCGACGGCGCCGTTCCAGACGGAGGTGTTCTCCTCGAAGAGGAACTCGCCCGTCTGGGAGTTGTCGGTGAAGCCGTTGGCCTTGTTGCCGAAGGCGATGCAGTTGACGACGTCGCGCCCGGCGGGGAGAATGTCGCCTGCGCTGCCGCCGCCGAGCTTGAAGCCGTTGCCGTTGCCGGTGAAGTCGGGGAGGTCCTGGACGACTAGTCAGCTCTGAAGTACAGGTAGTCATGGAGTGAGAGGTCGATTTACCCAGCGGTTGTAGCCATTGCCCCAGGCGATGCTGTCCTTGATGGTCAACTTGGAGTGGAACTCCCTGCAAATGGTCAGCAACCTGGATACCACGCCTGTCACAAAACACTTACCAGAAGTCAACTCCATCGTCAGAGTTGTCCCAGAACCTGCTGCCAACAATGATGTTGCCCTCTCCCTTGCCCTCCTTGATGGCGATACCATCGGCATTCTCGCCGTTGTTCCTGGGATCGCGGTTTCCGTACGAGTCGAGGTAAGAGATCACGTTGTTAGAAAGGGCACCCTGCATGTGGAAGCCGCTCTCGTAGTTATCCCGAGTCACGATCTGGTTGAAGCGCAAGTTGCTGCTATCCTTGACGTAAACACCATAGGGGCCGTGGGTGAAAGTGAGGCGTTGGAAGTTCCAGTAGTGGATGCGCTCAACGTGGAGGACGCCGCGCTCCTTGCCGGGGATCGAAGCACCTACCGGCGCGGGAGTGTTCGGCAGACCCTCGCCGTCGATGATGACTACCTCATCCGTGGCCGCACGTAGGGTAATCGGGGCCTGCGCGGTGCCGTTCACGGTGATGTTGATGTTCTTGAGGAGCTCGTATGTACCGCCGCGAAGGATGACAACGTCGCCGGGCTGGGTAATGTTGATGGCGGCTTGGATATCACCGAACGGCTTGGCCGAGCTGCCGTCCGGGGTCGGGTTGCCGGTGGGGGCGACGTAGATATTGGCCGCCAGGGCCAGGGGAAGGCACGAAACAAGTGTTGATAGAAACAACATAATGGGCAGTTGTGAAAGAGTGTAAATGTTGGGTTGACAAACAAAAATTCGCAGTTACGAAACGATACTGATTCCGTCCAAAGCCGACATCGTGGGACAGACTCGGGGTCGCCTTTATACAATCATCATTTCCTTCCTCGATGCGGAAGCAACCGTCGGATCCGACTGGCGCCGCTTACAGATACTGACCGTGCCAAAATGAAGCAGTCTTGGCGGCGTTCGCTGAGAGGGCCGGATTTCTTGGTTCTCTTTAACATACTTTACCGAACCGAGTGACTCCATCGTGAGTGGCAGCGGCTTGAGTCGAAAGGCCTGTGAGCAGATTTACAGGAGCTCAGCTCTAGCTGTTTTTGTTATCGGCCATAAGCGGACGTAGGGGTAACCCCTACCACGTTCATCAACGAGCACTGTAACGTGGTGCTGTGCCAAGACGTCTGCGCATACCCAAATCTCACAGGCACCCACAATTCTCGGGCGGGAGAAGCTCATTCCACCAGTTTGGATCGACCGAGCTCTCCGAAATTCAGAAAATCGTCAATATTAGGTTCATCGCGATAGCGAAACCAGATACTGGACCTGATATTCCCTCGAGGAGCTGAACTCGTATGAGATGTCCATCAGTTCTTTGCAGAACATCTTAGACATCATGTTGTAGTTCTTCAGCGCACAGACTCTTCAAGTTCGGTAGGGCCGAGTTCCTTCCGAGTTGTAGGAGCTTCGTCGACTGAGCCTATGGCGGCTTCATTTGACGAAAGATCTTTGCATCACTAAATTCAATAGACCATGCAGTATCCGAGGCTATTCCACGTTCCCAGAGGCTGACGAACTAGTCAAAACTTTACTCTATTCCAAACAAGCTTGAATTAGAGTTCGAGAAAGCCCCGTGTACTCGTGGGCCGTCAATTCCATTGTGCGCCATCATGACTCAAACGAAAGCCCGACTTGACTAGTCAATCATGCTACTTGATAGTGCATTAGAACGTTTTTTTTTTTCCCGAGCAGCTTTGAGATCCTGTCCCGCTGGTGACCTTTCACCCGAGCTGAGGATCATCCAAACACGCCTCACATTAGCTATTAAGCATCGTGACAAGGATTCAACTTTTACTTTGATGTCCTAGATGAATATGGATAACAAAATGAAGACACAAGCAAGTGGTTCTATTGAATGATGACCGCTGAATTTTCAGCTCGGGAAATTCCATGAGACTTGTGCGACTGCAAATGTAAGTAGGCACTATAAAGGCGTAATCGCAATCAAGCAGTCGGGCTCGGTTATTCTGATAGTTGAGCCTGAAGCGATCCAATTATTCATTCTTACATTTTGATACCTTACTGCAGCCACAAATGCCAAGTTTCAGCTGGCTGCTGGTCTATTGGCTCGACTCCGACGCAACAATGCAGGTCACCGATGACAACACATAGGCTAGCACTCAGAAGATATTCTGATTGGATCTGCGTAGCTACTAGTGGTACGCAATGTCAGCTAATTGTGTACACTGCGTATCCCATAATCCAATGTCATTTAAGAGATTCTTCATAGCCTCGGTGGGCTTCCCCTTTACATTGCACTTTGAGCCATCCTATCCCAACAAGAGAGGGCGAGATTGACCTTGAACTTGCCTTCACTCTTGCGCCTTGTCTTGTAATTTGTACAGATCAACGTCAGCCAGTGCTGAATATTTCCTACGATAGACAGCGTAAGACATCGACCATGATCTGGCTTATCAACGTCCACAGCGGCAAGCTGGAAAAGTTTCAGAACAACTTTCCACGCTACGCTATTCTTTCTCATACATGGGGAGAAGAGAAAGATGAGATACACTTCGGCGATATCCAGAAAGACCACCAGCTATCCAAGACCGGACCTGGCAGGATAAAATTCGATGGATGTTGCCAGCAGGCGAAAGCTGATGGCTTCGACTACGTTTGGATCGACACTTGCTGCATCGACAAGTCCCATCACACAGACTACTCAGAAGCAATCACTTCGATGTTTACTTGGTATCAGACTGCTGGCCGTTGCTATGCTTATCTTGCCGATGTGCCCGACGAGTCAGCTTTGACGTTCGACAACGACTTCCGACGAAGCCGGTGGCACACCAGAGGATGGACATTGCAGGAGCTCTTAGCTCCCCAAGACCTGGTCTTCTACAGTAAAGACTGGAATAAGCTAGGAGAGAAAGTCTCTATGACTAGCATAATCGAAGAGGCCACTGGTATTCCTGCTCAATTCCTTGGCGGATTTCGGGATGCAAGCGTTGCCCAGCGCATGTCCTGGGCTGCCCAGAGAGTGACAACGAGAGGAGAAGACATAGCCTATTGTCTTTTCGGTATTTTCAACGTCAGTCTTCCGATCATGTATGGAGAAGGGGCTTCGGCTGCATTCGGCCGGCTACAGGAAGCCATCCTCCAGAGAACCCCAGACGCCTCCATTTTAGCCTGGGGACTTCATTTGCAACATGATGACCTCCACCCTCAACAGCCTTCAACAAACAGATACGGGAACGTTTTGGCCGCCAGCCCTCAGGACTTCGTCAACTGTGGAACCGTGGTCCCTTGGGAAAATGGTCACAGCGGACAACGCCTAGACGTGAACGGTGGCTACTATCACTTACAACTTCCGCTACACACAACCAAGGCGGGACACACCTTTGGCTTGCTCAAATGCTATTCAAGGCCCCATCAAAAGGGTTGCATAGGAATTCCTCTCTGTCAAGTCGAGCCAGGATCGGCAACGGACGAGTTTATGAGGCCCAAGGAAAGCAAAGCCATCCAGCTATTTCACACAGATTCTTCACAAGAGCCGTCCAATTTGCGAATTCGAGACCTCTCACTGGCCGAAAACATCAGAAAGTTTGATCGTAGGTACGGGTACAGCATTGAAGTACCAGCCTCCAGCAAATTGGCCGTGTTCGATGTTTACCCGAAGGATCGGTGGGACACAAGTAAGAGATTTGGCATTACTGGCGTTGACTTTCTATGCGACGCCAAACAACTTTCATGGATCAGACTCCGGCACAATGAAGAGCAAAGTCCGGACTTTGTTGTCATGTTGGAGTTGGAAATCAGCTCGTCGTAACCGCAGCTAAGATGCCACCTCATGGTGGCTTCTAGATCCATGGAATTGGATATCCTTGCGCGTGAAATCCCCGCTCTTCCATCCCTCTCGCGGTTTACTGGAAGAGAACGAGCTAGCAATGGCTGGTGTAATTTGACAGTTAAGCAAACAACCAAACGCCAAGGCTGCTATATCGTCTACGAAATATCGTTTGTTGAGTTGGAGAGACGACAAATCGACTATCTGGACATTACTAGCGAGATTGAATTGGTCGCGTGTGATCGTCGGCTTCAATTTCTATTCGAGGAGGATATACAATTAGGTCCAAAGGTCAACAGAGCAGCAAGTTCAGTTCTGGAAAAACAGGCGGACATTAAGTACAAGGAAATTCGATTTTCATCAATGAAGAAAGAGCTCGAGCGCTTGCCATTGGAAATGGCTGAATCAGAAAGATTACTGAAATCCCTCACCAACCAAGATGAAAGACTTAAAGAGAAAAAGAACGGGATACTTCAGTCAATATCCTCCCTCAGCGAACGCTTACCAATGGATGTGGGGGTACAGAGGTTGATGAAATGGCACAATTCAGTCGCTAAAGGCCTCTCCCGCACTCTGCCAGCTCAAGATGCAGATATAGAGTCAATTTTCGATGAGAGGATCAGGCTGTTCATGCGGGCTATTGCCATAGGCCATCTAGGAGCGATGGAATATCTTTCTGGTCAACTGGATGACGCCACCAAAGCCAGCACGAGTGCCGCAGCGTTGTCGACCGCCATCAAGTCAAGCAACATCGAGGCCCTCATCTGGTTGCTTGAAAGAGGATTCAACGTCAACTCTCAAGACAGTGACGGAATGACTCCTCTCGGGAGAGCAGCATCTGGGGGTTTGATTTCAGTGTGTCTATCGCTGCTACAACGCAGGGAAGATATTGGCCTAGACATCAACCTAGAAGGTTCTGATGGTCGAAGCCCTCTTGTCTTGGCCGTGATAAACGATTACGTTGAAGTAGCCGGGTTGTTGCTAGATGCAAAGGCTCGCATTAGCAACATGGACTCCGGCGCAGACAAGCATGCCCTAACTCTAGCCGCTCGTTACGGTCGGGTTGAGATTGCCCGCTTGTTGCTGGACGCAAACGCCGCTCTCGAGACCGAAGATGAAAATGGAGAAACTCCATTGACTATGGCAGCTAGCAAAGGTCATGATGGTGTATTGCAATTACTGATCGATCGCAAAGCCAACATTGAGGCTACTGGCCGCAACGGTAGCAGTCCCCTGGCGGTAGCAGCTTATGAGGGTCATGTGCGAATTAGTCGTCTGCTACTTGATCATGGCGCGAACGCGAACGCAAGAGATGATGACGGCATCACACCATTGCACTTAGCAGCCAGAAAGAACCACCACCACGTGGTCAGGCTCCTTTTGGATAACGACGCCGATGTCGATGTCAAGGATCAATGGGGCTTGTCTCCATTAGCAGCTGCTGTTTATGAAGGTTTCGAACAGACGGGGCAGCTTTTGCTAGGCAGGAAAGCTTATGTCGAGTCAAGCGCGAACAACGGAAGGACCCCGCTGATATGGGCAGCTGCCAATGGACACCGTCACATGGTTCAGTTGCCCATGGATAAAGGTGCGGACCTTGGAGCCAGAGAAGTGGGCGGTCGAACTGCGCTGGAGCATTGCCTGTATAATGAAGATCTTGCCACCACCCGTGTTCTTCTAGGGAAACGCCTCCCGGTAGAACAACAAGACATACACCTCGACAGAGCTATGAACATAGCGATGGCGAAGGCCTTCAGCGAAGTGGTTCGGCTTTTGCTCAGGGAAGGATGTAGGAAATTCACCAACTACCAAAAAGACGGCTTTTTGAAGTACGCAAAGGACTGTGCCGAAGATATTGGAGATGAAAAAGCTCAGGCAATGAATGAGATTATTACGATGTTGGAGGACGCCATCACACCCAGAGAGCGAGGACGATCTTGGTCGCCGAACGCCTCTCAACAGAGCCCAAGCAGCACTGACGACAACGGAATACTTGATGACCCTAGCTGGAAACACAAGGTCGCCAGGTACAAGAAAAGTGCTAAGAAAAGTGAGCAAAGAGGTCGCAAATACCCTTCATCAGAAAGTCTTCAAGGGCAGCATGGCGAAGCATATCCTTCCGATTGTTACAATCGCAATAGAGGGTTTGATACATTGATGGTCGACGGGCAGAACAAAAGACCGCGATCATTGTTTGAAACGACTTGGGAGCCGAATAAACACCCAAGAACATATTGAAAAGCTCCAATCAGCCTCCTGAAGCTAGAGGCAATTAAGACCAAAAGGCCATTGGTTATGGCTACCTCAGAGTTGACGTTGAAGTGCGGCCTGGACGTTGATCCTGGGATGAGGCGAATGATAGATAGATCACTTGGGACTGAGCTGGCCAATATATGAACGAGTTTCTCCTTGCCACAGACAATCAAGCCGTACTCACATAGTTTACGTTAGGTCGACTGGCGCGACATTCAAAGTTGTCTCATATGAATATAATAGTTGAACTCATCGAGTCTGATGTCTGGATCGAGCCAGTGATCACAACTCAAGCAACTCAGGCGCGAACACACCTTCTTCAAAGAATACTGTGGTTTCAGCACAGAGTTTTGTTTCGATTTAAAAAGGCTTTCGGCCTACCTGAACAGAGCATATCGGAACCCGCGGTTTGCGATATGCTGTTGCCACCGTTTGATACCCACCTAATTCCAAGGACTTAATTCCGCCGATCCTCCAAGGAAAGGCCACCAACAACAGCAATGAAATGATTACCCTGACTTCCAGCAACGATGCCTGACAATGCGCCCATCCGTTAGTGGTCCTCCGCCCTAATGGTTTGAGTCATTGACACTGACAGCGGTCAGTCGTTTCAAACACCCAGGCACCCAGCACTAACTTAACCCCTTTTCAGAAGCAAAGCCGACCGGCGAACCCCTAAAAGCTTCAAGCTTGTTCGACTGCAGACCAGCTACGACAAAAGGAGCTTGGCGACGCACCCAGGGACAGCGAGCGAAATGATCCATCCCGTGTTCGCAAATGACAATCCAACTGTCGATCTTACAGAAAGTGAACACTGTCAGACGCGAGACTTGGCACTTTTCATCGGGGACTCCAGATTCTAGAGTCCAGCGTTGCAGTCAAGCATTCGCGAAGCCCTAAGAACCAACCCCCGCAACTCCATTGGCTGGATGAGTCCAAAAACAGCGCCGGCGATGAGAAAGGGGTCTGCCCGGGGTGTTGTCACCAGACGGCAGACCCTTGGTGCTCCCCGTGTCTCCACTAAACATCGGCTGGCATCTCGCTGAATCTTCGTCCCGAGTTTGGGCGCCTTCTTATGTACGTGAGATTTCGCGATTGATTGAAGTACTTTGGGCGAAGCGTGAGAGGCCCGCCAAGCGTTAGAGGCGGTCATTAATCTGGTGCAACCATGACAACGTTGATTGATGATCATAATGTGTCAAGTGCAAATCCTCAACACCAAGTAAAACTCAACTCTCACAGAACAACCCATCTCGCCATGATTCAAAATAGCTTCATTCACCCTCCAAAGAGATCGAGAGATCTCGCCATTTACGAAAAAAGGGGCATGATTTTCGGAATGCGGGGGAGGCATTGGCCTGGATCTTAGTGGACGTGGGGCCACGCTATATCCAAGACGCGTGTTTGTCCCGGCAGCTCGGAGTTGAAAGGGGATCCCAGACGCAACAGCTTCGCAATGAGACGACGCCACGGCTGAGCCTGCTGGCGCGGCCTATCTAACGTCAAACAGGATGGCCTGTTATGTTGTTTGGCAGTTCTCCAGAGCACTCCGGGACTTGCGAGCCGCACCACGGAGGAGCTGCCAGTCAGATAGATTAATTCCTGCCGCAGCGGAAGGAAACCCGGCATGGTTAAGCTTTCACTAAAAAAAACCCTCAATCTCCAAAAATGGAAGCTATCGTTGCAGGTCTTGGCCTCTTTAAAGACGGCGTGCCCAGCCTTCCAACGGCTGCGCAGTCTGGTTTCCTGTCTGGTGTCTTGCGCGCAGCTTGCCGCGAGGGAAACGACTTCGACGACTTGTTCCAAACACATGGTGGAGGATGGTTCGACTACTTTTTTCATCGCGATACGGCGCTCAGTCGACACCCGTCCTCGCGGCGGCGGCATTCATCACGCTTACCGTTGTCTACTTACTGCGATTTAACGGTCATATTACACCATTCAGCTCAGCAGAGTTCAGCTTTCGAACGTCGACAACGTCAGGACTCAACCTCGATGCAATCAACAAGACGGCGCAATACTTTGTCGACTACCCTCTCGGACCCCCATACAAGAAGATCTTTGGTGAACTCGGCGAGAGGACAAAGATCTTGCGCTCATGGATTGAGGCATTGGAGGAGAGGACGCCTAAGGGACAGCGGCTTGTGGGGGCTGAGAGAGACTTCTTAGCCGAGCAAATCGAACGAGTCGCGGCATCCCTGTATCCTTTCCTGCAATCTCCGCCAAGAGACCCTCACAGCCGGTCACCCCTCGCGGATCTTCGGCGAAGCTTTGGGAGTGCGGAACCCCCTGTTCGCCAGCCCCAGCAGCAGCAGCTCCCAGTCGTCCCAGTCGTCGAGGACAGCGTCGATGCAGTCGCCGGTGCACCGGCAGCGGCGGCCGACGCTATCTCCAGGAGGCAGCCGGACGACGGCATCTATAAGCCGAAAAATGCGGGAATCGTCATCCCCACCGGATCTGGCACGCTGCGATTCGCGTGCCATCTGGTGGCGTCGCTGACGCGCGTGCACCGAACCACGCTACCGATCCAGATTGTGTACGCTGGCGACGAGGACTTGAGCGAGGAGGACCGTGATACACTTGTTCAGGCCGCTGCCACGGGCGATGATGGCCACATCGAGTTCCTGGACATTACAACCGTGTTCAATGACACCACTCTGAGATTGGCGGAGGGAGGATGGGCGATCAAGCCGTTTGCCGCGCTCGGCAGTCGCTTCGAGGAGGTGATTCTCCTGGACGCCGATGTCGTCTTCATGCAGGCGCCCGAACAGCTGTTGCAGCAGCGAAGCTATCGCGAGAAAGGCGCGCTGCTCTTCCACGACCGACTCCTTTGGAAGGGGCAGTTCCCCGAACGACACGATTGGTACCACGATATGATCAAGCGCCCGAGCGAAGAACTGTCGAAATCACGTGTCTGGACAGAGAGATACGCCGAGGAGGGGGACTCTGGTATCGTTGTGCTCAACAAGGGACGACTTGATGTTCTCATGGGTTTGCTACACATCGGCTGGCAAAACACCTACGCAGTGCGCAACTCATGGACGTATCGGATTACCTACGGCGACAAGGAAACATACTGGATCGGTCTGGAAGTGACGGGATCGAAGTACTCCTTCTCGAGGCATTACGGCGGCATGGTTGGCTGGAGATTTCCGATTCGCGGAGTCCAGACGGACATGACACAGGTGTGCAGCTTCGTGATTGCGCACGTGGACGAGGTGGATAATCTGCTGTGGTACAACGGTGGACTGCTGAAGAATAAGATGGGCAACGCAACGGAGTTCGAAATTCCGACGCACTGGATGATTGACCAACAATGGGTCAAGGGTGCGAAGAAGAAGGATATGAGCTGCATGGTCGGCACAAACGTGAGAGAGCTGTTGGATCACGAGAAGAATATCCTGGGCAAGAGCATAGAGGCTGCCCAAGATGTTGATGTTTCGCTTGAGTTGGCGTAAATGTATAGAAAATAGAGATTCCCTCTCTTCCTGTTCACCAGCTTGCTCACAACAGTGTTCGGCGGTCTCAGCTACTCGGTATAAAGTTTGGGTTGCTGCCCTGTCCGCTCCGCTTCAGAAAGTATCTTCCTATTCGCTTTCTTCAATAGGAACTTCATCAGCAATGATGAGACAACACTCAACGCCGAAAATGCCATCATGAGAAGCATTGCCATGATATACCGGGGCCCGTCCGATGATGGGAAGAAATAGGGACTCCAAATGTTCCCCAGCTGGGATAGAAGATTGATGATAGCAGTGGCACATGCTCTCTTTTCGGGTGTTTGATTGAGAGAGGATGCGGCCCAGGAATAAACTGCAGCATTCGCAGCAAAAGCACCCGAGCAGTAAAGAAACGAGGCGAAATATCTGGCAGGAACATTGAGGGTTGCCGTCGAGATAATGAACCCTACGATGGCCACAACCATCGGTACGCTGATGTGGTAGCCGCGCTCATTGAAGTGGTCGCTTGAGCGAGCGACGATGAAGGAGACGGCGGCCCCGAATAAGTATGGAGGGGCCGTCAGAACCAGCGTGATGGTGCGGGTGCCAAGGTGCATGGAGCTGACGATACTATAGTTGATTGGGATCAGCCATCGGTCTCTTTGAACTCGTTGGTAGAGGATACTCACGTTGGGAAGAAGTTGTTGAAGCCGTACGCGGTGTGATTTGCGCATAGGATAATAACCTGGAACTATTCAGCAAAGTACTTGTTGAAGATCGTACACGAAACCCACAAATATCCACGTGCGGATGTCTTTCACAGCAAGAAGCAGCCCATGCCATATGGACCGGTCGGCTTCAGGTACGGAGACCCGATCTAAAGCGATACGTTGCTGTGCAAGCTCGAGTTCGTCAGCACTGAACAGCCATTTCCCACTCCCCGTCTGGGAATTGGGGAAATCGGGCAAAAGAGCGAAGGCACATATGGCGGCAAGTGCACTTCCGGCGCCCTCAATGATGAACAGCCACTGCCATCCATGCAGACCCGCCTTGTCAGATAGACCAGAGAAGATGCCAGCGGCAATAAGTCCGGAGAACGCCGTAGCTAAAACCAGACCTGAGTAAAGCACTGCGGTTCTGAGAGCAAGTTCTTTGCTGGTGTACCAAGCCGATAGCATGAAGAATGCCTTCACGATGATCATGTAAGCAGAAGAAAAAGCTCCGATTCAGTTAAAGGTTTGCATACCCCTGGAAAGAAAGGGGCCTCCACGATGCCGAGGAAGAACCGCACCGCAATCAAGCCTGAGTAGTTGTGGACACCGGCCGTGGCTGCCGATATAGCCGACCAGACAATAACACAGGATGGTAGATACAGACTCGGACGAACTCGTGTGAGGATCATGTTGGAAGGAAGTTGAGCAAGCATGTAGCCGACGTTAAGAATTGATACGGCGACATTGAATTGAGTACCATGTAGGCCAAGGTCTTCTTCAAAGTTGTCAAGACGAGCTTGTCTGCTTTAATTAGCAAAACTTCTAGCAGTTAGATGGATGAGTGATTGTGACTTACGCGATGTTGTTTCTGTCGAGGTAGTTGAACATGTAGAGAACCCAGACTACGGGTAACAAGGTCATGTCCAGTTTGCGGACGACACGGCGTTCGGCTGCTTTCCATTCATGGCTCTCATGATAACCGAAGGAACTATGTCGGTGCTTGCTCTTCTGGCCTTGGCTCATTGAAGATGCCTTGAGTTCGAAAGACTCGCCTTCCTCAATATGAGCACTAGAGGGTTCCGTGATGTTGTTCTTCACAGATGTCATCATTTTGAAAGCTGTAGCCAAGCTGTCAAAACTCATGAAAGATTCTCGAACTGAGAGAATATTGAATAGCTTGACGACATTAGAGTGATGATAACCTTTTATGCATCACCCACGCTCTCACAAACATGGTCAGCTGGATGATGACTCCCGGCACCATGTCTCATGCGGCCAAGTATCTGCAAGTACCCCAGATATGCAAACTCTTCCCCATGGGGAGATTCTGGAGACTTCCGAGAAGAGACTGACTTAGAATGTGTCCTCCTATCGGCGCTCAGTTCCGATGCGGGGAGGCCGATCGGGGGCCATATGTACGCTGCAAGTCCGATCGGCGATGAATGAGACCGGTCCGGACTTCATCTACGTAACTCTCAGAATACAAGAAGCACTACAAGAGTCACTGGCTCAAGGTGTAGTTTAAAGAGGCTCTACAAATGAACAGGGTCATTTGACTGTTATCAACTTTTATTCCGCTCATCCAGACTGCTAGAGCCTGCCTACCGCCTTGAGCTTCATTTTCTTCATTACCAATCCGGGCAACTTATCCTAATCACCATGGGCTCCGTTCCCGTTGATCAAAAAGCCACATCTAGTGCATCTGCCGGTGCCAGGTTGAGACAACTTCTAGAGCGTGATGAGATTCTCATTGCTCCCGGCGTGTATGAGGGCTACAGCGCCCGTATCGCCCACGAAGTCGGCTTCGACTGCATCTACATGGTATTCAAGCAATCTCTTCGGGGCAGCCCTTATTTGAACCCAGATTGCTAACGAATCGTATCCAGACGGGAGCTGGGACATGCGCCTCCAAACTCGGGCAGCCTGACCTCGGCTTCGCATCTCTCAACGACATGCGCGAACACGCAGAAATGATTGCGAACCTCAACCCGTCAGTGCCTCTTATAGCGGATGCTGACACAGGATACGGCGGCCCAAATATGGTCGCACGTACCATCGCACAATACCATCGCTCAGGCATCGCTGGCCTTCACATCGAAGACCAAGTCCAAACCAAGCGCTGTGGGCATCTAGGCGGCAAGGCGGTAGTTGACATTGAAACGTTCCGACAACGTATCGCAGCTGCTGCATACGAGAAGAAGCGCCTAGGCTCAGACATCGTCATCATTGCAAGAACCGACGCACTCCAAACCCATGGCTTCGATGAGGCTGTACACAGGCTCAAGGTTGCCGCTTCAGCGGGTGCCGATGTCGGATTTCTGGAAGGAGTCACAACAGCCGAGGAAGCAAGAGAGGTCTGTAAAAGGATGGCGCCTACTCCTATGCTACTCAATATGGTGGAACATGGTGCCACACCGTCATGGACCCCGGCTGAAGCCCAGGAGCTCGGCTTCAAAGTCATCATCTACCCTTTCGCGTCCATTGCTCCGGCCTACCAGGCGATCAAGGATGTCTTTGTGAAAATCAAGAAAACCGGAAAGACAGGGCTGGAGAAGGAGTTCACCCCGAAGAAACTGTTTACCATTGTCGGATTGGAGGAAGCTATGGCTGTCGATACGGCAGCGGGTGGAAGCTTTTACAATAAGGTGTAATCTGGTGGGTCCTTCGACGCAAGGCGCCAACGCATGTCTACTTCATCCACGGACCATTCATCTCTACTGGCTTGAGGAAGAACAGTATGTAGAATAGCAACTTCTATCATCATTTAAACCAAAATAAAGACGGTCTGTTTCCGAGATGACGTCGATGACGGGTATGGCCACAAATGTACCCCGCGCCATGTTGGTCATCCTACGCTAGCCATCTGCACCCAGCTCCGATCGGAATTCCGATCGGCACCAACCTGGCTTCCCTTCTTTCTCTCCTCAATCTGTCGCGCTCGTCGCCATATCGACCAGTTTCCGTATCGGCCTTGAGAATGTTTTCCAAGATTCTCATCTCGGAACACTGAATGGATAGCGCAAGGACCGCCACATCCCAAGGGGATGATTGTTCATCTTCTAGGACGACACGATCTCGGTCTGGCGTTACTTGCGTAAATGCGTCAGAGAAGACGCCTGGCGACGTCGCATCACGGAGGAAAGCTTGTAATCAATGCAAACAGCAGAAGGTTAGTGTTTGCTGGATCTCGTTGGCGGCTTATTGTCTGGGCTGACTTTGATACATACCTAGCTTCGCTGTGAATATGTGTCTCACGAATCACGCGATCAGATGCAAATCAGATGCCGTCGCTGTCACAGGCTAGATCTCGAATGCAAGATCGAAGAGGGATTCAGAAGAACCAGAAAGAGACGGTGGGACAACCCTTGCAACACCTAAGCATGGCCGCGGAACATGATACTGACTAGGTATTGCTACGGGGATCAGGCGGTCCGCTGACTTTGAAGATGAAATTCATGAACTGAAAAGGCAGCTCAACGAAGCCCAGACACGGTCTTTAGCTATCTCTCACGCGTCCTCTGGCGAGGAAGCTGTAGCAGAATGGACGATGGCAACAGAGATGAACAGACGGCACCTCGATCCCAGTCCGAACAACACCATCATAGCTTACCAAGATGACTCTGCGTTGCCAGTTGCACCACTTTCAGGAAGCATCGATGCGATTGAATCCCCGGAAGGAGACACAATCACCACAGAACAGTCACGGGCCCCAGGGTTGACAACGAGACCCGAGATTGACCAACAGACACCGCGCCGGCTACCTCGAGGGTCTTTCAATATGCCTCGTCCACGGGCCTTGGACAATGCCGTACTCTCTGTGGAAGAGATTGAAGACCTATTCCAAATGTGAGCATTGAAGGTTCATCCAGTTGCAATAACTTTGCCAGAATTATAAAGCACTTATTCTAATATCTAGAACAGTTTCAAGACATATTATCATCCTTTTCTACCCCTGATAGATACAACGAGAACGCCACATGAATATTACGAACTCTCTGGACTCCTTTTCTGGGTAATTATATCCATCGCTGCCAGACGACTCAAGTCACAGCCAACACTGCTGCCGAAGCTGGCTCGTAACGTGACCGACCTGCTCTGGAGAACTGTGCGAACTACACCATATTCTGTGCATGTCGTTCAGGCTATTGCGTTGCTATGCACATGGCCATTCCCGACAAGCAGCAGTACATCAGATCCGACATTCATGTTGACGGGCTTGATGATTCAGATGGGCGTACAGATGGGTCTCAACCGTCCTGTTGACGCACAGGACTTCTCTAAAGCGCCCTTGGAATTGACTGATACGGAGCTTGCTGAATGGACAAGGACGTGGGAAGCATGTATGATCGTCTCTCAAAGGTCAGTACATGTGCCGGCCAAGCAATATTTGGCTGAGATTAGCCATTTGGTCTGCATAGACATACTGAAGCTTTACTCACCAGTGCGACTATTGGGTGTGGCTTGCAAACACCCTTACAGCAGTACGGCTCAGGCATATCGCAAGACGATAGGGTACGCAACGATATAGAAAGCGCTGTCGACAACGCCAAGTTCAAATACAACCTCATGATTGAGATATTTCGAAGTCGAGTCACCATGGCTCTGATGGACCAACCACGAGATGCCAGGCATCAGCCGGCTACTCGAGAACGACTCATTCTATATCGGCTTTTCAACAAAGAGATCACTGAAATTGAGGGCAAGAACTTCAACATCTCAAGTGCGACTGGTCAGTATCATTCGCGATTCCAGGGACCCCAGCTGACATATCGAATAGAAGTAAAGACGTGGCATTCCACGGCGGCGCGGCTTCATCTGCATGCATTCTATCTTTTCGACCATGCTTCATCTGAGGGCTATGAAGAGCGCATCTGTGCCCTCTACGTCACAGCGTCTTCTTTGATCGACTCAAGTCGGATGCTAGACGAGCGCCAAATCCAATTCTTCGACTATTGCCCTTTTTTCTGTTATCAGATCTTCGTATGTGCATCCATGATTGTCCTCAGGATTGCATCGAACGGCCACTTCCGCTCGATGGTTGATGCAACCGAGGGAATGAAGCTTGTTGAAGCATCCATCGCAGCTCTGAGGAAGATGAGCGTGGTTAACAACGATCTGCCAGCCCGCTTAGGCGATGTCATCGGGTTCTTCTGCGCCTTGCCCGATCCTACCAAAGTCGGTGGCACAACAGTCGAGGATATCCAACTGAAGCAGGTTCGGAATCGGCTGAGCGTTAGTGTCGTGCATGATTGTCTCGCAACTTGGCGGAAACACTTTATGGCGGAGACCGAGGGATCTGCTCAACGCCAGCGCGTGGAAGGCGGCGGGTTGATTGCGAGTAGTTTCAGAACACCTGTGGGCGATTCTCCATATCTAGGTGGGCTATCCAGTATCGGAGACGCACAAAACATGTTCGGGCTGGACTTTTCGTTTGATAACTGGGATTTCTCGGTCTAATACGATTTCTAGTCTGTTTCTTACGTCGTCTCCCCAACAACCCTGATGTCTCACGCAGCGATTCCATCTGTTGCAGGCGGCCCCTTATAAACTGGTGGTGGAATGTCAGTATAATGCACGCAAAGTTTAGATGCCAGGAATAACAAACCTTTCCGTGCATGAACCCGGTACCATATGGCAGATAGCACGGCGAAACCAACGAAGACCACACTAGCGTAGTTCATAGAGACTGCCGTGACTGGCAGCGCAGTGGGCATACTGAACAAGACCGTTTGGAAGAAGATCCAAGCAATAGCAATGCAGTTGACGAGCGTGCCGATCTTTGGTCCACAGGTATAACGAGCCCCATTGACCTCTTTACGTCCATGCATCAAGCTGATGAGGATGGGGATGAGGTAGCTAATTTCCAGGGCCATCACACCAACGGACACGAAAGCTGTGAACGCCGAAGTGCTTCCGATGTTGATGAGACCAAGCAGCATTTCGACAATGGTGACTAGGATGACGGCGTTGACGGGAACCCCCAACTTTGCGTCGACTTTGGACCACAGGTGAGCACCTGGGATGGCGTTGTCTCGAGCGAATGCCCAGGTGCAACGAGATGCGGCGACTGTGATACTCAGACTGCAACCAATTGTAACAATCAGAACGAGAATCATGAGCCCAAGACCACCACCGGGGGTGCCCATGGCGGCGCTGAAAACAACCGGCAAGGCCTGGCCGTAAGGGGATGCAATGATCTGATCCAGTGGGGCCAAGGTAAAGCAGATAGGCAGGATGAAGAACAAGCCAGCCACACCTTGAATAGGAACAGTGAGTCCGATGGCTTTAGGCACTCTGACAGATGGATCTTTGCACTCCTCGGCCATGGCGGAGATCATTCCGACAGCGCAGAAGACGTATGCCGAGGGCAAGAGACCGATGAAGAACGTAAAGTGTTCCCACCCGGAGAAGGTCTCTTCGTAGTGGCCTAGGGCATAGGCCGCATCGTGACGGCCTGCCTTTGCCTGGAGTGACAGTGCGATCAAGACGACGAAGATGGTCACCCCGATGAATCCCGAACAGAATGCATCCACAGTCGAGAGCCATCGATTGCAGAAGATAACCACCACCGCCGTGAATATCGTCAGACCGTAGAATATGAGAAGAAGCTGCCATGACGTTGCGACCCAAGTCGGCTCCATCATGGTGATTGTTCCGGCGAGGAGTGATGCAAAGCCGAAGTTGACGGAGAGCGTGATGGTCCAGTTGGCAATCAACCAGGTCCAGCCAGTGACGAAAGAAAGAGCTGCCTTGCCTCTTGATGCAACTTGGAAGGACCAGTAGTACGGACCGGCCGAGGTTGGATACCTAGAAGCCAATTCCGCTACTGACAAGGCGACACATTGGCTGAGGAGGGCGACAACTATCCAGCCAACAAACAGGGCCAATGGACCACCGCCATAGATGACATTGATCAGAGGCCCCCCAAGTCCGTATGGTATCGAGCAGATGGCGAAGGATTGGAAGAGAAGCGTGCGCGTGGATCGATTTCGGTGCAGGTTGGATGGCTCGTAGCCCAATTGCTCCAGTGTCTCGACATCGCCCGCAGCGACGCTGTGTAAGGTGCCGCTCCGGGACGATCTCCTCCCATTACTCGTTGGTGTCGCTTCCACCTCGGGCTGGAAATCCTCATAATCGGTTTTCGTCATCTTGTCTTGTCGTTGAATTCGCGAAGATGTGCGACGAAGATAGAGTTTCATGGCCTCACGTCTGAACTACCACGGGAGCCGGCCAATTAATAGCATTCGGGAAACTATACTGAGGTCACAGCTTGGGACATCCCGTGCCACGCTCTGGAATATGCCTGTAAGACAAGCTGCCCTCGAGGGCGGACCAAAAGCTTGTCTGATAACGCTGGCCTATCTGTTCCCTACAAACAACCTAGCTCCATGTCACCACATCCCAGTCACCCTTTCCACAACAAGCTAGCTGCCGATAACAGAAGCTTTTTCGCGGCACCCCATCGACCAGTCATATCAATCTCGTCGAGACATCTCGCATCCGAGTGGATGCCAAGGGTGCCAAGGCGGGGTAGCAAGGGACGGAGCTGTTTGAACAGACGCGCAGAGGCAGGGAAGGTGGCTGGTCCGGGCGAGGACAATTCTTCGGACGGCCAGAGTGGTCGTGTATTTTGACCGAAATAGGTAGTGGTATCCCCGTATTTCCCCTGACGGCATGGCCGCCATTCGAGTTATGATATTTAACATGGCGATCATTATTGTTTTCTGCGAGTCTGATTCGCCAAAGCTGGGGTATTCACGGCTGGGGTGTCTGATATCCGTTAGATTTCGCGATAAGGAACGAGTTGCTTAAGTTGGGGGCCCGGCGATAAGGCCAAGACATACAGCTTCGGCAAAGCATCCTATGGTACACCCTGCAGATGCAGCCGAAGGTCTACGTGATTTTAGTCTAAGTAAAGGGAAAAGGCCTGTTACTCTATTTGCGTCTTGATTGAGATGCCTGACCAGCGCTGGACTTCATCGCCATACCTTGACAAGCAACTTTCAGACTTAAAATCCAGCCTCTTGGGTAGCTTTAATCCTTCACGCAGGAAAATATTCGGCATTAGGTACACATGGGAAGATTCCATCCCGAATATCTTTACCTGTATACGCATTGCGACCGAGGATGAACTGAGTCTTTGCCGCTTGACGGTGAATGGACCATCCAGAGTGAAGAAGTTAAAAGAAACGTGCTTGGCATGGTTGATCGTCGGGTTGACTGACGTCGATCGTGGAGTTAAACGAAGCTTGGCATGCGTTATCCCTAATGGAAAATCATCCAGCTCAGGTACTGAAGACTCTCTTCAGAAACGGATAGGCAGCGACGTCGCATGATTCGAGACGTGCGGAAATTGGTTTCAAGTCTTGGATTGACACAAAATAAAAGACACGGAAAACGTGGACTCAAAGATCAGAAGCAAGAGACAAAGTGACACATCATTTCATAGAGTCGTCCAAATTCCGTGAGTAACTATGTACGTGAAGCTTTGTAATACCCATGTTCCCCCTTCCAATAACCTCATAAGATCGGGCCGTTTCTTCGTTGGTCTCCCGTTGTAATCCGCTACTTATTACTCCCCGCCTGTCCAGATGTCCGAAAAGGATTCGGTCGACGTATTTACGCAGCACACTTATCAGCATATCTCAAACCGTGGCCAAACCTGAAAGCAGGGTCCTTCGTATCATAAGGAACGTCTTCGAAAGCCTCCTCAACAGCCTCCATAGACCGCGGAAGGTCAAAGGGTAGCTTTCCTTCCGGAGAGCTAATACCGAAGATGACGTCCAGGAATGCTTCGGTTCCACTACCGAAGCTTCCAAGTACTGCCGAAGCGGCATCGACGACTTCAGGAATAGCCGCTGGCCGATCCAGGATGACATCCACAATGGTGGGCACCGCTGAGTAGATGGCAGCCTGTCGTGCTTTCTCCGTGGCGTTGAACTCGAGGGAGCCAGCGTGGTAGTTGGCTTCAAAGCCTCCGCTGCGAGGCTCGTAGGGAGCATTGACGCGAATCAACGCATAGTCGGCCTCTTCAGGCGTCTCAACAACGGTCAGGTTGCGAGCCTCGATGAATGTGGCATTGAAACCTTCGATGTAGAATTTGGTCTCCGTGCTGACAGTCTTAAGCGGCAAAATATCGTTCTTGTTGGCGAGAAGTGTGTAGGCCTTGCGCTGCGCTTCATTGCCAAGGCGAGCAAAGTAGTCGTTGCCGACGACTCTCGAAGCAGCTTCAGGGTCCACAAAAGGGTTGTCGAAAAGACCAAGGACGAACTTCTCGCGAAGCAGACGACGGACAGAGACGTCAAGACGTTCTTCGGCGACGATACCCTCGTTCACCAACTGGATGATGAGTTCAGGGCGCTGCTCGCCGCCAAACTGATCACAGCCGGCGTCGATAATACGAGCTGCACGCTCGAGCTCGGTTGTGTTCTCGACACCCCAGGCACGGGCTGGCATGTCTTGGCCACGGATCACAGTGTCAGTGATGAGTCCCCAGTCAGTGACTACAATACCATTGAAGCCAAGCTGTTGTCTCAAAAGGTCTGTGACAATCTGCTTGTTGAAAGAGAAGCCGACGGGGTCGTATTGAGTTCCAATGGGACGGGAATAGTACGGCATCATTTGTCTCGCACCTGCGGCGATAGCAGCTTTGAATGGGATGAGATGATACTCAAGGTTGTTGCCAGGATAAGTCTGGTTCTTGCCGTAGGTGAAGTGAGAGTCTTCGCCATTCTCCATCGGTCCACCTCCAGGGAAGTGCTTCGTCACTGTCGTAACAGAGTGGGGTCCCAAAGTCTCTCCCTGGAAGCCCTTAATGTAGGCAACGATGAGCTCACTGGTCAAAGTTGCGTTCTCACCCCAGGTATTTCCAAGGCGCGCCCATCGTGGCTCAGTGGCTAAATCAACCTGAGGATGCAACGCTGACCTGATGCCAACGGCGATGTACTCCTCTCGCGCGATCTCGGCGAACTTCTTCACCAGATCAGCGTCTCGCAGAGCAGCGAGTCCCAGGGTCTCAGGCCATTGAGAGAAGACACCAGCTTGGAAGCCGGTTCCGATGTTCTCGGTGAAGTGGTGCCTTGGGTCTGTCGACAGCGTGACAGGGATACCCAAGCGGGTGTCCAAAGCGCGCTGCTGAACGAGGTTGACGAACTCGGCAACCTGCTTGGCGTCGGTAATATCTCCGACGAGGTTGAAGTGAGTCATGTGCTTGTCACCGATCATATTGTCGGTGCTGTTGCGGCGTGCGGCCTCATCGCCTTCGTCAAGGGTGCCATTGGGTCCTTGGTAGAGCTGAGTTTGGAAAAGCTGACCGGCCTTTTCTTCCAATGTCATGCGCTGGACGAGGTCTTCCACTCGAGCTTCGACGCAATAAGAAGAGTTCTTGTAAATAGGGAGAGAGTCATCACGATGAGTGAGCCAAGAGTACTGTGCAGTGGGGTTGCTGTTGACGCCCAGTGGCAGCAGTGCCAAGGCAAGTGTCGTTAAGTCGGACTTCATATCTTGACTGGCCTCCCACAGGCGTATTAACGAGGTTCAATGGAGACTGAGATATTGAGGTGAGTGGCCATGCTGATGAACCTCCAGAAGAGCAGCAGGTATTTATGCCAGAGACTGCCTCCATGGCTGCAACCTTTACCATTGGCTGGCAAACTTCGAGTCCTTGAGTCTTTGGGCTGCAAGACCAGTGAAGTGGGAATCACGAAAGAATTAGGAAAGGCTACTCTTGGCAACATATTTTACGGCCTTGCGTCGGTCCAAATAACTGGAGTGATGACGCTGAAATGGCTGAAGAGGGGTTCAATACATGTACGAGGTGATGATGCCCCCATAACAATGGAGGGGCACCTCGGAAGTCGGGGGCAGGCCAGCGCGACAATGGCAGAATCCCGAGCCGGGAGCGGCAATGGCTTCCTGTATGAGAACAGACTTCTGGCTGTCAACCGATGACCTATGGTAATCACACGACGGTCCGCTCTTCGCGATGCTGAGAAATCTGTAGTTGACTTCTTCACTAATGCCAACCTCCATTGTACGACTTTCGGAAAACACTGTGTTGCTGATGTTCGTGATCTAGGGTACAGAGTATGACCACAACTGAAGTTTCTCCCAACGACATGAGGTGACGGTGAGGCAAACACGCTCTTCATACAGGGATATCGTCTGCCGACCGGAGCTGTCGGCATATGTTCGGGTCACCAGCAGAACGGAACACATGCGGGGACCCCAGAGCCTTAGATTGCTCCACATTAGGGCACAGACTTGACCATAAATCGACCTCGCCGATGATGCTATGCTGGGGTGACAGCCTGGAAAGTGCTTGGAATTACTGAGCTGGGGCTTTGAATCGGCCCTACCTCGAGGATGGCGGGTCCTCAAGCAGGTTACCTGGTATCCTCCCCCGCAATCCGAAGCTCGCATTCACGAAGACTCATATCTAGTCCGTGAGTGGAATGCTACTCATCACCTCAGCTCACGGTGTCTGGACTCTCGGGACGAACAAAAGCACGAGACTTGTGGTGTTGTGACGGTGGATGTTGCGGGGAAGCGGGGATCAGTTGCCCTTTGGTAAACCGGGTTGGTGGTCACCTGTCAATCCTACATCGACGGCTCCACGTTCGGCACATGTTAAATGCTTGGCATCTCCAACTTTTCCGCTCACCGCTTGGCTATTATGCTCACCATTTCAATTCATGACATTGTAATTGCTTACAATCAGGTTCCCTTTTGACAGTCCCGGTGGGGGACCGGCCCCACGCTGGAGGCCTGCTCGTAAATTGTCGAACGCGAGGAGATGGAGAGTAGAGAATCTGACCCAAACCGCCGAAGTTTTGCCATTCAACCCTTCCAAGTTATCAATTTCTGGGAGTGGCCTTCGCTAATATGTCAGAAGAAGCTTGGCAGAATGGTCAAAACAGTCGCATGTTCTCCGGTCGACGTCATAGCTACCCACGTCTTCATTCCAGAACACCGGCGTTAGCGGACCAGCTGATGCAGAGTCTTCTGAAGATATGTTCAACGTTGAACTTGGTGATAGAGCAGATTGAGAATGCTGCGATTGAGTTCAACCAAGGTACTCAACAGAAGAATGCGAAGTGTTGATGTCAATGGATGCGTAATGGGGGATCTGGGGACCAACAGGCGTCGATAAAATCCAGTCCTTGATTTGTGTTGAGAATTCTCATCGTAGCATTGATCAAGGCGGAGAGCAGCTAGCGGCCGGAGTTTTGGCCAATACCCGGGCACCGTTCCGACGGGTCCGGACCGGAAATCGGAGGGTGTGGGCCTGCTGGCAGATTTCATCACGGTTATCTCCCCGGTGAACCCAATTTGCCCGAGGCAGCTGGGTTAGAACATTTACATGAGGAAGCATATGATGCGCGCTGAATATTCCGTAATCTCAGTTGATCTCACGTTCATTTCACATGGTATGCTTTCAGACTTTCTGAGACCTCCGCTTCTCCCTGACTCCAAGTTTCGCGATAGCTTAACGTACACCACCTTGAAATCTTGACCAATCACAAATAGCAAAACAATGTGTTCCGGCGCTTTTACACGTCCTGCAACGCAAAAGTCAAAGCTCACGGAAGTCTATCTATCAGACGATTCCCAGGGCACGGCTGCACAGTTCCTCCGACGGATGACTTTGCTGCTTAAGCATGAAGTATTTGAGGAAGAGGAAAGATGGAGGCAGTCGTACAAGGCCCTACACAAGCCCTATGGTATCACACTGAAGTACGACCACGACAACAGCAACCGTATTCCAGCACTCACGCATTGAAGTTCTTCTCGAGACTTGACTACGATCACGACGACGACGTGTAATATCTGGCTCAACGAGATACCAAGGACATTTTTCGAACGACAAATCCTGTCAATATGGCACCGCAAGCGAATGGGAGTAGGGCTGCAGAGGCCTTCTTGCGCTCAGCTGATGATCTGAAAGCATCGCTCGCTGATATGAGCGAAGATGACCGCATGAGAATCGTGCTCAGGATGTATGAACTCATGATTGACGTCGAGTCGCCGTGGGACACATACATGAGACTTTATCTCAGTGAAGCAAGTTTCCTCTGAAGGGTGAGCCGGCTTATATGACGTTCTTGCTGCTGACTGGCCTGCGCAGCCGTCCGTTCTAGCTGCATTGGAAACATTTGAAAGCCTGCAACTCTTCGAGAAATGGAACGAGAATGGCAATAGGCCGGCGACAGAGACAGAGCTCGCTCAATGGGTCGCAACTCCATGTGACCCCGCACTACTTCGTGAGCAGCCTACGGCAACTTCCTCGTCTCTTCATGTACTGACAGCTTTAGGCCGTCTGCTTCGTCTCCTGGCTGCCAACCGTCTTATCAAAATCACCAATACTGGAAAATTCGAACCCACTCCCTTTTTCGCGCAACTGGCGGACAATAATTACAAGCACATGCTCCATTTCCAGTATTTCTCCCCGATACACTCATAGCTCATTCAAGGGATACTGATGTTTCATAGTCATAAATTCACGGTGCCAATGCTGCACCACATGCCAATGTTTCTCAAAAAGACAAAGTTTGTCAATCCAACACGAAGCCGCGACACAATGTTCGACTCCGCATTCAACTGGGAAGGTGGTCTTTTTGGTTACCTTGAGAAGTACCCCGAGGAGGGGAAGGGGTTCAACGTCGTCCAGAAGCTTTCGACGTCAAGCCAAGCCAGATGGACTTCTGTCTACCCTTGCCACACCCTCTTGGATTCCGACCCAAACCTGCCGCTTCTTGTAGATGTGGGAGGTAGCATTGGCCAAGATCTCAAGCCGTTCGTAGAGAAGTTTCCAGAGACAGCGTCGAGGCTGTACTTGCAAGACCTCCCGTCCGTCATTGCAGATGAGGAAGCCTGCCAGGTCAAGGGGATCAACAAACTTGCGTATGACTTCTTCAAACCTCAACCAATCAAGCGTAAGTCCGAACGAATGTTCATTTGAATGCGGCCTCAGGTCACTGATTTTGTGGTAGATGCGCGGGCGTATTACATGCACCATATTCTCCACGATTGGCCTGACAAAGTCGTTCTCAAAATTCTCGAGAACCAAAAGGCTGCCATGAAGCCAGGGTACAGCAAGATCCTGATTCATGACCATGTGTTAGACGACAGCAGGCCTGTGCATCCTCATGCTGCGAGTTACGACATCACTATGATGGCGTTTGGTTCTGCCAAGGAGCGCACAGAGAGAGAGTGGCGCGAGCTGATCGAGTCAATTGGATTGAAGATTGTTAAGATATGGGGTTCACCGTCATCGGTACAAGGGATTCTTGAGGTCGAGCTTATGGAAGGAACGGCAAAGCTTTAATGTGATTGTTGGAGGTGTCTAGTCACTAGTGGGATCGCAATATCTCTCTCTACCTGATCAATTTATCCTGTTACGCCCCTACGTATTCCCTCCTCGCTCGTCGCTACCCCGAGATGTGCGCCGAAAGGAAAGCCTCTCCGGACATTTCTCCTGAAAGATTTAGTCTTGCTCGCCGAGAAATTCGTCGAGGCGCACTCTAGTCGCCTCATTCATGTGTTCAACACCGCCATGGTTGCTGGGGATCTGTAGAGCGACATGGAGCGAAGCCACAGGGAAAGCGTCGTGTTCCTCGCTAGGACGGATTTGGCGAATAACACGGGCAGGTACTCCAGCAGCAACGGATCTAGGAGGAATGTCACTGCGTACAACGCTGCCAGCGGCAATGGTCGAACCAGCCCCGATCTTGACGCCGCCCCTATGATGAGTTAGCTTTGAATCCGAATCACTGCTAGCAGCCGTGGCGGAGGTGTCAACTCACAGAATAGTTACGTTCCCTCCAATCCAGCAGCCATCTTCGATGGTGACTGGCTTTCCAAAGCTGACTCTGGGATGTGTGTCCGAGTTGAGGTTGTGTCCGACGCTGTAGATACTGACATGAGGTCCGAGGGAACAATGTTTACCAATACGAACGTCGGCAACAGGAGTATCAAGAATGGTGCAGTTATGGTTGATGAAGGTGTCCGCAGCAATGTGAACACGCAGGCCGTAGTCAATTCTGATCGGTCCTTTGACGGACGGGGTGGGGAAATCGTTGGCAGAGCTAACTGGTGTGCCGGCACTTGAGGTAGGGGCGACGATCCTAGTCGAAGGATGGTTAGTTTTATTCCATACAATGCCATGTCGCATGTGACTTGATTGTCCTGAAACGTTGGACAATAATAAGAAGATAATCTGGGACTACTCACTTGCGCCAAGCTGCTGACTTTTCCTCGGGGGTTGCGTCATTGGGAAGATTGTTGAAGTCCCCGCAGGCTTTCGCGCATCTAGCCAAAGCGTTCCAAAAGTCCTTCTGTCTGACCGGATACGACATACCGTCGCGGTATGCGGAGATCTCTTTGGCCCTGGGTTGAGTCATGATGATGGAACAGGGAGGCTGGTAGGTCTTGGTTAGTGATGTGTTTTGTGTTCTAAGTATCAATTGAGGCTTATGTGGATGTGGAGAATTAGTAGACGAATGAAGATGATGATGTGTCATTTAAGTAGTAACTTGCGCTCGAAAGTCTGGGTGACAGGTCTTTTGATCAGTGAATCGAAGCTAGGAGTGAATTTGGTGTCAAACACTGCGTCGGAAGGGATGTGAGATTCACTAAAGACGCCTGCCTGGTCAACGGTAACGCATTGATCACAAGTAGCTTTGATGATTTAAACAGAAATAGAATACCCTGTGTTTATTCTTGTGGCACAGACCATAAACCTCAACTCAAGATTCTCCGATTGCCTTCTGACAAAGAATCTCAAGGAAATCGCTTTTCCCATTCAAGAGCAGCGATCATAAAGACTCCAGCGCCTCGAAGGTCGTTCTGGCGCAGGCCAATGCTCGAGTAGTACTGGTCAAATATCAATCTCTCTGTTCCGAAGACGGATGAAAAGAGGGTTCTTACCTCAAAGGTGGCATTGCTTCCCAGACTCCCTACCATGACTGTGCCTTCCCAGTTGATCGTGCCATTGTCATTGTGAGTGACGAACATATCCACCATACCGTTCCACGCTTTCTTCGCGACATCCAAATAATCCGCTTCAGAAAGATATCCCAGGTTGAGTCCTTTGAGCCAACCGAAGGTGAACATGACGCTTGCGCTGCTCTCGATGTAGTTCCCCTCGACGTCCTCGTAGCGCTTTTCCATCACGTTCCACCAACCACCGGACTCGTCTTGGGCGCCTTTGAGACCTTGTGCCAATCCTTTGAAATATCCTAGAAGTCTTTCTCGTCCGGGATGCTCTTCAGGGAGCAAGTCGATGACCTCGAGCAAAGCCATGAAGTACCATCCATCGGCACGGCCCCACACCAGCGGCGCAGCGCCGGTCTCGGGATCGGCCCACACAGCTTGCTTGCTCTCGTCGTACCCATGGACCAGCAGATTGTCATCTCGCCGAGTGCGCGCGTCGATGTTGTCAAACTGAAGTACGATATCGTCCCAAGCTGTTTGGTTATCTAGCTGGAATAACGACACATACTTCGCATAGAAGGTATCAGCCATGTAGATGCCGTCGAGCCACATCTGATTTGGATACACGACCTCGCGGTGCCATAAGCCGCCTGTAGGTGTGCGCGGGTGGTTGTCAAGGGTTCTCTTGATTCCATCTGCAGCAATGCGATATTTTTCTTCTCCTGTTTTCTCGTACCAGTAAAGCGCGTTGTTGCCAAAGCGGTAGGGATCAAGACTGTAGCGCGAATAGTTGAAACCGTCAATGGTGCCATTGGGAAAGATCACCGCGTCGACTTGGGCTCGGTAGTAGTCGTAAATCGTCTGGTTCTTCGTATGCTCATAGATAGCCTCAAAAGAAGTGTATAGAGTCGCCTGATCGTAGTGAAAACTTGGCTCAACTCCACGTCGGATCATCGAGTCGGTCATCCATGCAGAATACGGAGTATGATTGGATGCTGGCGCGCCCGCACCCAGGCTTGCTGCCACAACGCCTACTACAAGCGCCGCATTCACAGACCTCATTTTTGGCAAGATGGATTGTCCCGAATGAAATTGATCTGTCTTCCAAAGAAACTGACACGACTTATTTGAATAGGAGATCTATCGATATTTACTCATTTTTGGCGACCATTTAACATGCTGGTTCGGCAATACGCCTTGATGGCGATTATTCCGAACAACCCTGAGAATGCATCCATTCCACACCGAGTGAATGGGTCCTGGACGGACAAATTGGATCATCCTGCATTCTCTGGATGAATTTCGACCTAATAGTCGATCTGAGTTGTGGAAAATTACATCCCGTGCCAAGATTGCCCCTGATCGGCTCCGCTGCGGCGCGGGGCAGATCTTGGCGGCCGCGAGATGCTGCGGGGCGGTGATATCCTCATGCGGTCATGATTAGATCCCTCGTTATGTTTCAAAGTCGAATTGGCATGGAGCTCGCCGTTATAAGCTGCACTGTTTTTAGGCTATACTGAAAGTCCGTATTCCTGGTTGTGGTGCAGGAAGATCATCAGCATCACTTAGACCTGGGTACAATGGACCCGACCCTGACTATTGTTGGATCTGAACTTCATCTTATAGCTGCGGTGCTCCAGGCCCCTAAGTAGCATAGATAGCCTGGATTCAAAGAGATCTTGAAGTTTGTCATATGGAGGACTATATTTCCCTTTGTCTTCAAGGGCGTACAACGGCTCTTGCTAGTTATTCTCGAGCCTCATGCCTTTTCGCTCCCTGCATCTGCTCTCGTCGCCTTTTCCTTGGCAATAGTCTCCTCATAGGTGTCATACTTGTACTTGAACCCGGGATGATCAGATCTCAGCCCCTTCTGCCCCAGACCATAGATTTGCTCGCGGAAGGTAGGCGCAGGGGCCTCCGCCGGGATTGCTTCCGGCAATAGTCCCCGACTTCTCAGTTCAGGGACGAGATATTCAACGGCGTCTTCAAAACTGCCAGGAGTGATGACGTATCCGATATTGAAGCCATCGACATCGGCAACGTCAACCCACTCCTGAAAGACGTCCGCGACCTGGGCGGCTGTTCCAACTGGCATAGCTCCATTGCCACCGATTGCCGTGACGGTGCCCAAGTTGCGAGGTGTCAGCTTGGGGACATCGTCGCCGCGGTAGCGCAGATTGTACAATGAAGAGTGGATCCTTTGCAAATGGTTTGCGACATCCTTTTCCGTGAGCTCATGGTCAAGGTCGAACTTTGAAACATCGATGCCGGTCGTAGCTGAGAATTGAGCGAGACCGCCCTCGATCAAGACATACTTCAGGGCTTCTTCGTACTTGCGCTTGGCGTCTTCTTCGTCTTTTCCGATGATGGGAGTGATCATAGCGAAGACCTTGACAGAATAGGGATCGCGACCAGCAGCGATTGCGCCTTCACGGATAGCCTTGACTCGAGGTGCCACAACATGAGGTGACAGACCGGCGACGAAGATGCCTTCGGCATGGGTTGAGCCAAACTTGATTCCGGCTCTGTTACGCATAAGCTTGGTGTATCTAAAAACGTGATAGTGACTTACGGCGATGTTCCGGCTTGAAACAGAACTGGCGTGCGCTGAGGAGATGGGTCTGTCAAGAATGGCGCGTCGACGTGAAATTTGCCATGGTGGTGAATAGGTCTGATCTGAGAGTAGTCGGAGTAGATGCCGTTCTCGGCGTCTTCCTTCAAAGCTGTGTCTGACCATGAACCTTCCCATAGTCTGGATGCAACGTCAGCAAGAGCTCCTGAGTTATAATCTGCTCATAGATGCTCAGCAACTCACTTGTATAGGACACGGAGGTATTCATCCGCATTTTCATACCGAGTGTCGTGCTCTACAAGGGGCAATCCGACCTGTGCTACTTGTCAGCTTCACATATTTGACGACCTGCAACTGAGACCACTCACAGCCTTAGATGCAGATTCTTTCCAGCTAGTCACAATATTCCAGCCAAAACGGCCCTTAGTGAGATGATCGAGTGTTGCAAACCGCTTAGCAACAACATAAGCCTGCTCATACGAGGTAGACGTAGTAATCGCGAAGCCCAGATTCTTCGTCACCGCTGCCATTGCTGAGACAGGCTTTGGCCAGGAATCAGCTTAAGTTAACTTGTAGGTCATCCGTGGGCTCACTCACGATGACAGGATCGGCCATTGGCCATTGGGCCCCGGTCCTTACAGATGGCTCAGCGCTGCCCTTGTATCTACAAGACTGGATTAAAACGGTGATCACCATAAACTTCCGGGATGGAAACACTTACGTGTCGTAGGGACCAAATGTGTCTGCTAGGAAAAGGCCTACGAAGCCCCCCTTATCCAAGAGCTTGGCTAGGTCGGTCCAGTAAGTGAGATCCCGGCGCTTATCCTTGGCCCGGTCCTTCGGGTTTCGCCACTGCCCGAATGACAGATGGCCAACCGTGAACATGTCGAAGGCATTGAGCAAAATTTGCTTTTTGGCTTTGGTGCCATTGCTTTCATTTTGGGCTTTTGATGAAGTCATCGTGAGTGAAGTTCAGTTGGCGGCAAGGCAAGCAGTCTAGGTGCAGCCAAGCGACGTTTTGAGGGCAGAATGAACACGACCACTGCAAGATGCTTTGAGTGTCTACACCCAGTCTAGCTCAACCAATACCCCGAAAGGATTATTGTATTATACTGATCCTGTTGGTTTGCGTCATTGTGCCCGAGTCTTGCGTGAAGAATCCTTCCGACATATCACGCATAAGTCCCATACTTTCCCCCGGTGCCCCGGAAGTCGGGTCCTGTATCGGACACTGAACCTAGCTTGGCGGCACACATTTTCTAGACGTTGAATATCGCAAAGGAACAACCACAATTGTGGCACGAAAACAACGGGTTTTAGCCGGGTTGTGCTCAAAGTCGGAGCTGTTGCGACAGCGTGCGAGGTTGGCCGGATGGTGGCATGGTGGGCCGGGATTTCGCCATCCACTCTCGGCGTTCCTCAACGAATCAAGTGCATTCTCAGCACCTCACCAATGGCACTTTAGACCTCCATGTAAGTACGAGCAGCTTATATCGCCATATGGACATCAAGCACATCATACATGCCACCCCCGAACCCCCGCTGATAAGGACGCGGGACGTCGGTAACACGCCGCAAGTAACGAACTTCTGCCCGGCATCGGGTATTCGATGGAAAATTTCCCATTGAAGATAAAGATGACTTGTCCACAGAAATTCACCGAGACATTGGGGGCCATTGCAGGACTAATCAGTACCGCACGATGAGCTCCATGATTCAGCCTGACGAGGTCCGAGTCGACCATGACGCGGCGGCAGCGACTCGGAAACAGGCCAATGCCACTGTCGCTCGATCGAATGTCGACAATCTTCGAGATGACCCTGAAGCTAGGGCAGCGTTCTTGTCAACGTTCTCAGCCGACGAAGAGCGCAGCGTTTTGAACAAGATCGACAAGAGGTTCTTGATTATTATTGGTTTCATGTACATGATCAAACAGGTATGTCGGCTGTGGGCTGAAGAAGTATTGACACTCAACTGACTGAGGACAATGAAGATTGACCAAAGCAACGCGGCAAATGTTCGTGTTCTTCAGGTTGGCGAATCTCGAAACATCATGAAGGAGCTTAGTATGACTTCTGACCAATACAACTGGGTTGGGTCCATCTACGGTGTGAGTACATCATCCGAACACCCACAATGCACCTCGTGCATAAGACTAACACCTCCAAGATTGCATATATCGTGTTTGAAGCGCCAAGCAATCTTCTTCTCAAGCGCATGAGTCCGCATCTGTGGCAATCTCGCATCTTCCTTACGTGGGGAATCATTACCGCATGCCATGCCGCGGCACAGAATCGGCACCAGCTTTATGCGATGCGCTTCTTACTAGGGTAGGCACCGGCCCCCTTGAGTATGACTTGCTCAACATAGACTGACTTGGTGCGACAGAATGTTCGAGGCGGGCATGTTTCCAGGAGTCATGGCCCAGCTATCCAGCTGGTACCGCACCGATGAAATCGGCAAGCCCGTGACTTGGTTCTTCGCGACCTCGAACCTTGCAGGCATCATCGGGTCTCTGCTCTGTTATGGCATCAGCTACATGAACGGCATCGGTGGTCTCAGCGCCTGGAGATGGGTATATCTACTCGAAGGGCTAGCGACGATCGTTTTCTCAGGCGCTGTGTTCTGGTACTTACCCGATTACCCAAAGTCTCCCCGAAGCGACCGATGGTTTACCAAACGCGAGCAAGAGTTCATCGAGGCTCGACTGCCAGAGAACGCACCGCTCACCAACGATCCAGACTTCTCCAAAAAGGAGATCTTTGCGGTGCTGAAGACCCCACTCATTTGGTCTTTCATGTTATCACAAACTTTGATCAACATTGGCGGATATGCGCTGACGTGGTATTTGCCGACGATTGTCACCAACCTGGGGTTCGTGGGTCTGCCGAAGAACCAGTTGCTCAACATTCCACCAGCTGCAGCTGCCATCCTTGGTCTCATTTTCTCAGCCTGGTTCATGTCGAAGGCCTACATCGTCCGACCCGCACTTATCATGTTCGTATCCCCCGGATCACTTCCAGGATATCAGAGCTAACGCAAATCCAGGATCATCATGTCAGGCATGGTTGTATGCTTCGTCCTCTTCTTCACAATTACCAACCGTTACGGAATCTACATAAGCTGCATCCTCGGCACGCTCTTCTATCAGTCATACTTCATTCCTTTCTGGGCATGGAGATCAGCCACACTGTCCGGGTCAACAGGCACCGCGTTCACTTTGGGGTTGCAGTCGGGCATTGCACAGCTTGGTGGTGTCATCGGCCCGCAGCTATTCCAATCCAGGTTTGCATACAACGGGTACAAGACAAGCTTTGCGATCGCGGCCGCGACGACAATCGCGTCTTTTGTGGGTAATTTGTGGACCTGGTGGTTGACCCGAAACACTGAGTACGATGTGATGAGGGTAAGAAGAAAGATATTGAAGGCTAGAAAGCTTGGAAGGGTCAACTTCGACGATGATATACGTGTCTTTGAGGAAAGGCGATTTTATGATGGGATTAAGCGCAACGGCAGAGATGAAAGCGAAGCAAGCTCGCAGGCATGAGTCGAATTGGGGCCATTGCTCGTCCAGCCACGACCCCCACATGGAGGGGTAGACCTTAAGATAAGATCATCAGTCAAGGTAGTCAAGGTAGTCAAGGTCTGTTCATAGTTAACTTATATAGACGTTGGCAATCTCATCAAATGATTGATAGCCTTCCTGTACAAACTTGAGTGCTCGGAAGTCGACAAAAATAGCTGTTGCACACATACTGCTAGGTATCCCCTGCCGGTGAGATCGACCTCCACGTGGGATAAACGTTAGATAGAGTTCCAAAAGAGAAGATGACAGGCCTCTGACTGGTGGATCTAAAGCACTGTCAGACAGTTTTATGGGGCATTTGCTATCCAATCCGCAAACATCGAAAATCTCTCAACCACCTTTCTCATGCTAAAATAGCTCAGGCCCGCCCTGACTCAACAATTTCCGGTCATCCTCACTTTGCACATTGCATCTCTCACCATGGCCCCGTCAGTAGCACTCGTACAACAGCTCCAGAGCGTCATTCCCCAGGAAGAACGCAAGTCTCTTCGCGACGAAGTAATCCCAGCGATTTTGGGAGCTGTTTCAGACATTGCCAAGACGCTTCATGCCTCGCAACATGTCTCATTGGCAGGAACCGCGAATGCTTTCGGCGACGACCAGCTGAACGTCGATGTCGCTTCCGAGAATGTCATGCGCGCCGCGATTGCTGAATGCCCGACGATACATACCGCAAGCAGTGAAGAGGATCCGGTGGAGAAGCCAGCGAGGACATTAACGAACGGCAATGCCGACGACACCCCGGCGTCTTCGGAAAAATACACCGTTGCTTTCGACCCACTGGATGGTAGCTCTATCATTGCACCGAACTGGACTGTCGGAACAATCGTCGGAATCTGGGACGGACGCACTGCGGTCGGACAGTCACCACGGGAGAAGCAGATTGCTGCCGTGATGGGCGTCATTGGGCCCCGGACTACGGCCATAGTTGCGCTCCGCATACCGGGTGCTGAGGCCACGTGCTTCGAGATCGGCTTCGGCCAGAACGGTGTGGAGGACTGCGAGATTATTCGCACAGTTGTCAAGCTGGCAGAGGGTCCTTTCAAGACTCGCTACTTCGCGCCAGCCAACCTGCGCCATGCGGCGGATGATGAGAGATACGGTGCTCTCATCACACGGTTCATCCAGAAGAAGTATACGCTGAGATACTGCGGCGGTCTTGTCCCGGATATTGTGCATGCGCTTGTCAAAGGGCACGGTGTATATGTTATGCCGGTGACTCCGGGAACGTTGCCGAAATTGCGGTTCCTGTATGAGCTCTACCCGATCGCCCTGATCATGGAGGTCGCTGGTGGAAAGGCGATCGACCCGTCAGATGGAAAGCCCTTACTGGATAGGGTCTCGGTTGACTGTGATGGAAGAGCTGGGTTGATCTGCGGTACCGCGGAGGAGGTAGACATTGCGAAGGCTGCTCTCCTTGACTGAGCTGGAAGTGTTCAAGATGTTGCGCGAAGGAGACTTGGGATTAGGACCTGTAACCAGATTGATAGACGCACAATGGACACCACACGGAATGTCACGACGAGGAATTTTGTCTTTGTTTGCACAGTTCAGGTTGGTTATGCTACTCTGTCGATGAGAAGATGAACATTCTATTCTCTCTACTGACATATTCATCCTTGATCATTATGTTTCACTACGATTACAGGGTCCTCCTTTTTCTACGTACAAAAGTTTGTGATATACAAGCTGGCCGCACAGAGACCAGCGAGGCCTAGCCCCTGGCAACCAGTAAGAAGAAAAATAGAGAAACAAAAGCCTTCACTACATTCCACATTACACAAATCCTGTCCTACACTTAGAGGAAGACAAGCCCTCCTGCAACACCAAGAGCGAGACCCACGAAGGCAATCCCGGAAGCCGACCTGCTGGATCCAGCAACGACGACAGGGTGGGTGGGATGCTGGGTCTCAGATGGCTTTGTAGGAGACCCAGGTGTGTGAGAGGGCTGCTCGGGATGGTTGCCAGAAGGCTGGGAAGGCTCCGGCGATGTCTCCTGAGGAGGCTTCACAGGAGTATGCTCCGGAGGGCTGACGGGAGTTTGCTCAGGACCCTGAGGCGGGACATCCCCGGACTTGGATGGATGGGCCGGGGGCTGAACAGAAGGGCTCGCCGGTGGCTGCGTGGGCGGGGTGCCGGAAGGCTGCTGGGGCGGCTTGACGGGCGGCTGAGGCTTGGGGCAGTGGTCGCCCTTGCACTCCTCGACGGGCTTGCACTCGTCGCCGGGACAGTCGTAGTGTTTGTTGTTGTCTTCGGGAGGGCAGGACTCGTGCTTGCAGTTGCCGTCTTTGCAGACGTACTTCTTGTTGCACCCGTCACCGTGGCACTTCTCGGACTTGCACTTATCGCCGTGGCAGACAATCTTGTCCTTGTTGCAGTTGTCGCCTTGGCACTTGTGGTATCGGCAAGAGTCGCCCTTGCAGATGATGATCTTGCCGCAGTCGTTGCCGCTGCACTGGTTCGGCTGGCATTTTCCGTCGGCACAGAGGAGGCAGCGGCTGCAGTCTCCGCCGTCGCATGGCTTGTCGTAGGCACAGTGGTCTCCGTAGCAGACGAACGGGTTGTCACAGTGCTTGCCGGTGCAAGGAGGGAAAGGGGGAGGTGGAGGAGAATGATGGCATTTGCCGCCAGGGCAAGGGGTGGGAACGGGAGTCTCGGGACAGTAGGTTGTAGTGATGGTTGTGAGGAACGTCGTGACAGCACCGCTATGGCATGGCTTGACTCCAGGTGGGCAGGAGGTGATAGTGTGGGTGTAAGTGGCCGTATACGTCGCCGTGATAGTGGAGGGAGGAACAGTCACCCAGATGCCGGTGGAGTTCGCAGCCGTAGTTGTGACTGTAACCTCGGTCCCAGTATGAATGGGAACAGTCGAAGAAATGACCCCGGTAGGACCAGGAATGATGGTGGTGTTCCACCCTGCAGAAGTTGTTCCATGTCCAGGCAAAACATTGGACTGAGCCAAGATGGCTGGAGCCAAAAAGGCAATAGCGAAGGTTGAACGCATGTTGAAACGAGTGACGATGTGAGTAAAGAATGACTGTACCTCGAAAGGTGACGGAAAAGAGTGGACAAGGATCGGAAGAGATCAGGTTGATGCTTTGTGAGAGTTGAGAAAAGACAAATGCAAAACTTTCGAGAACAGACATCTTTTATGTCCAACAAAGGTGTATTGGATAACTTAAGCTTACTGACGACAAGTGCGATGGTGCGCTTCAAGGACTTGTGTCAGACCAAAACACCTCGAACGATCCTGTGCCTGGCCCAGGCCCAGCCCGTCAGCACGGAAATTTGACTTTCGGCAGTCAGTTCAGCTCTGCATGATCGCGAAGATCATTATCAGCTGTGCGGGCAATCATTGAATCGACATGTAAGACCTACACCAACTTCGGGCAGAAACACGGGAAAGTAAAATTTAGCCTTATCATCCCTTACAGACTTCGCTTCCTCGACCTATGGTCTAAGGACGTAGTCTCCGAAGCAACGCCACAGGCTTTAGATATCAACTTTTTCAGCTGTTCATGTAGATAATCAGCCATTAAATGTTGTAAATCTTGCTCGTGGCTTTGGTTTCTGCGCTACAGCCCTTGCCTTGTAACGTTTCCTAGCTTTGGCCACGCGAAGGCTGTCTCACGATGGTGATTCCCATTTTGACTCAAATTCAAAAAGTACAGAGTCCGTCCGTGGTACGAAATTTCCACATAGGTGGCGTCTGGGTTGGCCATCCTGGCTATCCTGGAAGCAAGGGGTCGAAATCGGGCGAGAGCCTCTTAACCCCAGAGTGGGGCCGCACCGGCAGCAAGACATTGTCTTTGACTTTCATCAATAGTCTTGAGACATGATTTAGAACTTCAATTGCCTTGACAACACATCATGATAATTTTGTCTTTAGATGAAGCTCCCTTGGGTAACGATGTTGTCGAGTAGTTTTCTTTGCGGGTTTTGGTTGTTAAGGGCCTTTGGAGCATTGGTTGTTGGCGGCCAGTGATCCAGAATGCGATAAACCGATAGTTGAAAAGTGGCCTGCAATACGAAAGTCCGAAAAACGCCAGAAGGAAAGATATAGGAGAGTCAGATAAACCCTCGCAAGCCGCCGTTTGGGTGGTGGCTTGGGTCGGCGCGCTTCCAAATTTCGATGCGCCTGGATTGCAAATTGGATCAAGCCTTCCCCGGATTGTGAGAAAGCTTTCTCTTGGTGCGAGAGCTATCAAAAGCTTAATGATGGACCAAACGTGGCTCTTACGCCTTGGATCTATCAGCCCACGCCCGGACATAAAAAGTTCATTGGATGCAGGTGTCGCGTTAAGAAAACCTTTCGACTAAGGTGAGCACGTAGAGGAAGGTTAACAGTCTACTCAGTAGACGGGATGAAGCAGGATAACAGCATTAATCGGGAGCAATCCGGTCAATCCTTCGCCTAATGACTTTATTACTTATCTTCATGCAAACAGGAAGGTCTAGCATTTGCATTGCCTGTGTCCGCTGCTGTATAGGGTTTGTGTAAAATCTTTTGAACAGAAGGATATCGAGGTTGGTTTCAAAAAAGCCCATGCACACCATAAAATCTGAACCATGGAGCTCGCGGTCATGCTCATACAGTGGAGCGTCCGCTACCCGTGGCATTCATCCTGGATTCGGTCTTGGAGTCCCTTGGATGTTTTCCCCAACACAATCCTTTCTTGCCCACCGTGTAGAGCGTCCATATGCCCAAAGTAAGAGCCGTGACCCCTCCAGCCACCCCAAGGTATAGCCAAAAGTGTTTGTTGATAATGGAATCTTCGCCCTCTGCCTCCCAATTGAAGACGTTCATCGAGAAGACGGTCTATTGGGGATTAACAGTCGGCTTCTCGTATGAGGAATTTACTTACTGCTACACTCGTCAGCGGTAGGTAGATCATGGTTAAGAATGCTATCGACCGCATTTGCGAGCTGTCTTCCTTCATTGCGACCGACAACTCAGTAGTTACTCGAGTGTCGTCGAGGGCAGCGCGGCTAACCATCTGGTTATGATGATTAGATCGGCCTTCCTTAGTATCCGTATGTCGCCGTCTTACCAATTGTGTGGTTACCATCGTATCTTCCATTGATTGTCGACAATTGTCAATCTTATAGTCAAATTCGTCCGATATTTGAACGAGACGTTGGTATAACCTTTTTTCAGTGTGAAGTTTCGGTATGATAGAGTCGTTGTCACGCCCCGAATCTCCACAGGCTCCATTCCAAAAGAGGCCTTTCTTCCTTAGAACATCTGTCATTGTGTCGCTGGCTCGCAGCTCTATCAAGTGCTCTATGATTCTGTTCATTTGACGCTTAGACGCTTCCAGATTCACAATCAGAAAGCTGCATTTCAAATGCAAGGTGAGCAGGTCCGCTACCTGTTCTTTCTGCATTGCTGCTGCCAAATTGTCATTCGCAATTTGAGCAACAAAGTCTTGTCGCTCCATGTATTGTGACTCCAAGGGACGGACCTCGCGTTTTATTGACCTGTCATGCTCAAGCTCACAAGCTGCTCCCACAAGTGCGAGGGGGTGACATAGGTCCTGGATGGAATCCCTCATGCGATAAAGAAGTAAACATTCTTGAGGAAGGGTGATACCAAAGAAAATGGCCATCGTTGATCGTGACTTCGGCTCGTGGGTCACAGAGACTGCGATGTCATCTGGAAATATAGCACTTGTACGGTAGGTATAAGCTTTGACGAGTCAGTTGAATTTCCAGCACAACAAGCTTAACAGTGAAACTTTTGTTCTTACACAGCCTGTCAGCTTCAATTTCATTCCCTAGATGAAGACAATGTACAAAATCTGCATTCTGGCGATTGATTGTTCGTCCTAGACTTTGGTGGATGTGAAACGATTTAGCTATCCGTTCTAGGGTTTGTTTCGTGACCGGAACTTGATGAATCCCTGGCTGATAACCAAAGACGGCACTCGTGGCTCGTCGGAAAATGCTATTAGTATCGTCTCAGTCAACGAAATTTCAAACTATTTCCTAGGTGAAGACGTGTATCAATTCAAAGTGGGATTAAGCATCACGCCAAGTGGACGGCCTTGGACTCACATGATCTGGAGTGTACCAAGTTCTTTGCTCCTAAAGATTGATTCCTGTTCGTTCATTAGTGTACTGATCAGTCACCACGTGAATCTGGCCATAGAACCAACTGCGCTTTGGAGCCACGAGGACCATTCAGCCTCCGAGGTCAACTCCTCTTCAACTAACGCCACCGGGACCTTCTATCTTAGTCGTTTGTCAAGCCTGAGGCTTGTTCAAAAACTCACAGTCGGGTCTAACAGGTCGTCCAATTGCACAGTCAAGACCTTGATGGGTCGCTCTTCGTATTCAAAAAGGTCGAGGTCGTGCCCTCTGAATTCCCACACTCTGGAAGGCCATTCCATCATGAAATGAACAGTGGTGTAAAAGGGTGGGCGTGAGATCACGTAGTAGCACTCAAGACAAGTCGTTTGCTAGCCTTTCGAGTGACTTGAGCTTCCTAATGGCTCTCAGTAGACGTGAATTCCTTCGTCGCAAAAGTCCCGTCTTTCAGCCCACAACTATTCCCAATTTAATTTGGTCGCAGTCGGCTCGCATCGTCAGGTTCAACAAATCTCTCTCTCCCGCATTTCACTGAGTGTAACACGTTATCCAGCCAACGGAATCTTGCATGTCAAGTTTGAGAGCCTGCTTCCGGAACAGGTCATTGCAGGGAGAATTGGAAGATACGTGTTCATCTTCAATTGGCCGATTTTCGCCTCTTAGGTCAATACACGGCGACACCGGATGAGTGCAGGATGCATATGCATGTGCCTACTAGTATCACGCATTTGCCTTACACGTCTAGATCGGCACAATCAAATTGAGAGAAGGTCAATACATGATTTGTGCGAGATCAAAGGCGACATCTCGGATATCTTTTGTTGATCAAGTAACCAGTAGCATCCAATGTTGGTCAGATTTCATTTGGTCTTCCTGAAGCAAAAGTAGCGGACGACCACGGCTTCCAACCAAGGAACAAAACGAATGGATGTTGAAGGATGCCTGTGTGGCTGTCATCGGTAGCCCATTTGTGGGGACCTACCGGTGCTTGGTGTTCTCATGTATGCCAACCTAAGTAATTATTCGCGCAAAAAGGCTGAGTGAGGGGGCCCCTGTACGTGCAGTGCAGCCCGCTAAGCGTTTGCCAGCAACCCACAAGCGCTGTCAGTGGCGCCAACATGGAGGGGATTGGGAACTGGGATGGTGCGCCAGAGGCGCAGTCTGGGTCGCAAATTGCTGTGGAAGGAACTTACCAAAAGATTGACATCAACTGTAGAAGCGGCGCAACGCTTTCCAACCTTTCCAATTTCCTCCAGCCCCTGCTTATCTTTCCCGTGAAGTTTGGATTGCATCAATTAGTTATCACTCCATACAGCATTATCCTCAACAATTATGGATAAATGCTGGTTCGTTCTACGACATTCCCACTTCCTGGCGCCTGAGTATACTCAACCAGGAATGGCACGGGGGGAGGCAACCGGAAGTCTCCTCCTCGGCCATCTTGTCCCAAGTCTGAAGCAGTTGGACCAGGTCATAAACTCCGAGGGGCAGGTCCCATTTCCAAGGGACATGCGCATTGAGCAGACAACCGCAACCGACTTCCATTGGGGGACCGCTACGGACAGAGGTCTCCAGGCTGGGGCAAAAGCCAATGTTCCCATAGCAGCAGCAGCAGGCCTGACTGTCCAGGCCGGCCTTGGGGCCCAATTCCAAAACACTGTGGAAGACAGCTGGCAGTTCGATCAACTAGACACTCAGATTATTCGGCCGACGAGAAACTACATCAAGCATTGCCTCAAGTCACCACAAGTTGCGGAGCACATTGAACGTGTAAAGACCTTTGGATTCTGCAAGCTCTTCATGATCTCAGGTCTCATGATCGCTCGAGGTTGCGCCCGTGAGCAAACCACCTCCAGCGGGAAATCAACCGAACTTAATCCTGGAATGTGAGTGAAAAGCAAAGTGATCTAAATAAGAAAGCTCATTAACATGTGTCACTAAGGAACATGGTGGATGTTGTTGGGGCAGAGATAAATATGGGTGTTTCTCAAACTAATCGAAGAACGATATCTGCTCGTCACGCAAATGACTTCATTTGGGCGGTCCGCCTTACTGAGCTTTCAAAGACTGCCTTTCGCTCCGAGTTTGAGCATAAGACTTACACTGATGGCGCAACATTTGGCTCCGAGAACTCAGCGCCCAACATCAATGACGTTGCAGAGAACTTGGAGATACGTGCTTTCGATACATTCAAAGTGGAATTGCCAGAAACGGAGGAAGAGATGTATCTAATAGTTGCTAGGGACGGAATGTAGGAACATACCAGGACTTAAGAGAAGGATTCCTAGGGTATACATTGACTCATCAGCTTGCTACAGCTAAAGCATTCCGGCGCACCGCGAAATCCTGATGCAGATTCTTTCCCTAGCATCTCTTATCTCCTCATCTGTGAAGCCATCAAATTGCCCTTGTAGCTCCTCTGGAAGCAGGCTCCAGGGCACAATGCACCGATATCCTTCATCTTGACTACTGATATCTCGAAAGACCCTTGTTAGAATTCTCTTCTCTTTGATCCTATCACCAAACTTCCCAAACCTCTCTTTGACAACCTCTTCCTGTCTTGAGAAATCCAGAAGACGAGCGGCAAAACCGCAAGCAATTGCCGTCGCGTAGGACGTGCCAGAATCGATCTGCCCTGAATAAAGTCGTATGTTTTCTCCAAATATGGCAAAATCATCATTGCCGAGTCCTGCTGGATTAATGGACCGGGAATTCTTTGCGTCGCTGTTTGTGGAAAACATGCAGAACACAAGATCATCCCACCGAGCTGGAAAGCTGACCCTCCTGCTATTGCCGTGATTTGAAGCTGCTGCAAAAACTAGTATATTGGCCGCGAAGACCTTCAACATCGCCTCGCGTAGTTCAGGCGGTTCAGAGTGGAAACCGGAGGCCATGCAAATGATGTCAACGTTATTCTTCATTGCCCATTCCAAAGCCTATAAGCCGTCGTATCAGTCAGTAATCCCAAAACAAGGGACGATACGGAAAGTAGGTACATATAGGCACATACTTTGATTGAGGACTGGACTGTGTCAGCAGTTGCACTGCTTCCTTCCCAGACCCTAGCGACAAAAATATCTGCAGTCTCGCAGACTCTGCAAACGAGTTCAAATACAGATGTACCGTGACCTGTACTGTCGTTCATGACTTCTTTTGGCTCGGCTGTGAAGTCACGATAATTCGACTCGGGTTGGTCAAACTTGGCGGCCGCCTCCGCGGTCAGCCCTGTATCGAGAATAGCGACCTTGGCCCTTGGGTGATTATCGTCGCCAATGCTCTCACCAAGAACTTCCTTAATTCCTTCGAACATTTTAAACCAGTCGGCACCACGAGAGCGTTTTAATCTACAAAGGTTAGAAAGTAATGTCCTAGCGGTGAGAGTGAGTAGCCGACTAACCGTTTTGGTTCCTCGTCGCAACGCAATTCTAAATCAACCCCTCTGGATTTTCGCTTTTGCGTCTTGGTGTTGGTGCTATCCTCAATTATGCGTGGTCTTGATGGAGGTGGAGCGTATAATCGTAAGGTATTGTCCAGCTTTAAGACGATTTCAGTAAAGAGCCAATCATCGTCCGGCTGTTCGTCCCATTCGCCCTGGCTTACAAAGTCAATGCATGACTGAATGACCTCTCGTACAGATTTCGGCACCGATCTTTGTACGTTTTCATCTGTTACAAGTTTCCTGAGAAGTCGAGATCTCTCCCCCTTCGAATTTGCGCTTTTGGCGAAGCGCTCCCCGACGTAGATTTCCATCACCACCTGAGCGAATGAAAGCAAGCGGGATTTGGCTGGGCTGAAAAAGGCTTCGCATTCATCCTCCAGTCTATCTGAACTCGGTTCGATGTTCAGCCTTCTTGATAGATACGGTTGGTCTGTATCCCATGTCGTGAGATTCTGTTGGCGCGAGTCACATGCGAGGAAGATATTGTCGATGTCCCAGCGGTGAGATACCCATTCGCTGGCGGACAGGTGTATCAATGCAAGTGATAGGTTCAGACAGAGAGCAGCTTTCGAAGCTTCTGGAAACTTGCCACCCCATCGGCAGTTGATGAGCTCATCCTGGTCGACGAGTTCTCCAAGACTCTTATCGGGAAGGTCTTGTCTACAAACGGCACTGACTCGTTTACCAATGATTCTTGGTGTTTCGTCAGCGGCCCGACGTAATGTCATTGTTAACGGCTCGCCAAGAATCCGACACTCTTGCAGTAATAAGCATAGTGTTTTTTCATGGTGTTGCTTGGACAACGGGGTTATTTCTCTAAGCAGACTACATGTTAGTTGCAATTGCCGACTGAGATCTTGTGGACGTACGTATGAATGTTGAATGAGGTTTCCTGCCAATGGCAACGTCGAGAATCTGGACTTGAAGATAGGAAGAAAACAAATCGCGGCCCTACAGCTTTATCATCAGTGATGTCGAAGCCGTTGAGGTGTAATCTGGCGATGTGACTTCCACAGCAACAAGAGCTGTAGACTAGTGCATGGAAGAGGCTCCTTGAAGCGTCCCGCAGTAAGGTCGACA